TCTTGGGTAGAATCCTAAACCTTTGCTTTTGTGCATGAAATTGAAGTGAAGAAAATGTGACGCATGTGCATGAGAAAAGATTAAAATAAATGTCATTTGACTGATGTGCACAGAATAGATGATCTTTTGATACACTGCTCATTTGTTCCTCCTATTCTTTCCCCTCTACAGGACAGAAAAAAGGAACATATTTTAACTAGGTATCATTCAGTTGTCAAGAAATCCTCCCCCTCCACCCTGCCATGTCAGAACTTCTCCAGGTTCACAGACAATGCACTTTGCAAAGCAAATACTGGACTTACTTTAAAAATGAAGTTTCCATTTCAAATACAATGTGTATTTACAACTACAGACATACCTTGGTGATTTCATATTACATAGTCCACTAACAGCAATAAAAGTCTAAGAACACTGAGCTAAAGCCCTATTTCTTATATAATTTACCCCAAATACCTTAATTTGATCTCCCAGCAATTCCCACTGGAAAGCCAAACTCATACTCACTTATGCAGCCAGTTTCAGTGTGTAAGTTACCAAGAAACCAAAAAAAGACTGAACCCTAACATTAAATATAATGCACAGACTCTTCAATAGTGTCAGTCTATAAATAATTTTATACCTTCCTGATCAAACAACACATTTTCAGTAAGGGCTCTAATCAGGTGTACTCGCATCGCAATCACTTCAGATGGTGATTATCCCATTGTGAGCAAGTGCAGTAGCATCCCCAAATGTTGTACATCACTGGGGTATTAAAATACAAAAATGCAAGTTCAGTAGAACTCTATTATTTATTGCTGCCATGTAGATAAGTTTATTTATTTTTATTAATTATAACTATTATGTTTTTAAGATTTTTTTTTAGGAGAAAGAAGTTAGGCAGCATTGAAAAAATTAGAGGACAGGTGCTTTGGGCTACATTACAGATGTCTTTCAGTGCATCTGTAATTAGAAAGCATGGAAAGCTTCAAGAAAACTAAAAACATAGCTAAGAATATTGGTCTATTCTTGCAGCTAACTTGTGGCAACTGCTTTTTGGTGCTAGACCTGTGAAGTTAGTACTTTCTCATAATGCTGACAAAAATGGAAAATATACTGAAATATTGCTGTAGATAAAAATGGGTAAAGGATGTGTGTATCCTGTTTATTGGTCCCCTTCTTAACACGAAACGTGCATGCTCACATCCTTTTTTGGACTTTTATTAGTTATGTACTTAAAATGAAAGTAGCAGTACTTCAGCTAGCTAAAATGCTCTGCAACAGCTGGATAGGATTGCGTTATGCTTTGAAGATATCTGGAATTTTATGACAGTTTTATGACACTGCACATATTTTAGAGAAGCCAGGAAAATGTAGTACTTGGCACAGAACTCTGAAGCACTATGTCAGACCCTGAACCAAGCTGACACACGGTCAAATGTGACACATGGTTTGTTTGCTGTTAGTTTTCAGCACAAAATATCGTGCCGAAAACTGATGGACACTCATTCATCCTTTATCCAAATCCTCCAAAAAAAAAAAAAAAAAATGTGCACAACTCATCTTAAGAAAGCAGATCTCCTCTTTCATGGCTTAAGGATCTGTTGAGTCCTGAAATCAACTCACACTAACTGAAGTGAATGCAACGCTACCTAGACTGAACAGCCTCTAGATGAAAGTTAATAAAGAACCTGCCTGCTGCTAGCTCTGCAGTGACCTTCTGCAGATTGCCATTCCCAAAGCCAAAGTTTTGCTCTAGGAGAAGTTCTGCCTGCAAATAGCATTCAGACAGTATGTCTGTTAAAAGGAACAATATAAGAGAAAATGTCATACAGTTTTTTGTTTCAATAACAATTTCTTATTTTCATTGGCTGTTTTGGCCTTTGTTTTTTATTCAGGTACTCCTGAAAAGAATACCAGGTTTGGCGATACAGTTAAGTATTGTTTCATGACTAAAATATTTCTATTCATCGATTTCCTTCCAAATTTGCTTAAATAAAACAAGAAAATTGCACAATGAAGTAATTTATTAACAGTTTTTAGAGTCGGTATTAGTTTTTTGTAATGCATTCATAGAAGAGAGAGATGTAAGATTGCTTTAAAAAATATACTGCGTGGTATTACATGTTTGTCAGAAGGGAAAAGAACAGTTTGACAAATTCCTGTGAATGTGTATGAAGAGTTCTAAATAAAATCCTCCCATCATAATGGGCTGAAATTAGAGCTTCACAATGCCATAGTCTTTGAATTGTGTAGCACTCACAACATCTCAAGCTTCTAAAAGAGACAGGTAAGACTCTTAATCAAAAGCTTGAAAGTAATTTCCTGGGGGGATAGGAGAGCAGAAGTAATTCTTCTTCCACTTTATTTCAGTGACAAAAAAAAAAAAAACCAACAGTTGCTGCAAGCAATTAAACAGTACTATATTCTCCACAAGCATCTTATGGATACAGGAAACCTGCCTGGGAAGCAGTACAGACCTTGGTTGTGTTTTTTTCCCCCCATTTAGTATTTTTAAATGGAATAAAAATGGAATCAAGTGCAGCTCAAGAGCTACAGCTGGCCTTCAGAGAGAACCATGTCTAATCATATGCTGCTGCTTTTTAATAACAATAAACCAACCACATCATTGTTTTTAGCATTTTAAGCAAGTGGCAGCTCATCCCTAACTCTGTACATTAAAAACTTTTTTAAAATTAAAATTCATATCTGGTTATTTGTTCAATTTCTATTTATTGTTTCTTCAACTGTTTCCCAATCTGCAGTGCATAACAGAATGCCTGGAATGAGAGCTAAGACACCACCAGGAGCAAGCATAGCATTACATCAGAAACAAGGCTTAAACTCATGTGCATGGTTTCACCTCTATTGGTAAAATATGAACAGTTGGAATAATTCCTCAAATATTTTATATACACGTCTGAATAGAAAGCTACATCTGTGAGAGTCTCCAGATGAGGTGAAGAAAAGAAAACCAAAGCATCTGTATTTGGCAACTAATGAAGATGTGAACACAGCTTTCCCTGGTGGCAAAGATATACTTGATAAATATTGGCTTTCAGAGCAGAGTTTACTTGCCTATCAGTAATTTTACGAGATTGGCATTAGACGTAAATTGCTATGATATTAGTAGGACAAAATGGACATATGGGCAGGGATATTCAGTCGCCTGTGCTCTGCTCAGCTAACGTGGCAGCTCAGACAGAAGCTGGCTGGCAGTCAGCTTGCAGGTAGCTCTAAAAGCATGGGCTGGCTCCTGCCCAGGTGGCGAGCCAAACAAAAGCAAGCAGTGGTACAGCAGAAAGGTAGAATTTACACAGATGGGAAATGCTGGGGATAGAAGGGATTGTCACAGAGTAAAGGACACCAGGAGGAGCTGGAGGTGTGAAAAGGTACCCTGCCAATATCTGGGGGGAGAGGGAAGCAGGGAGAGAGCTGGAATGCCCAAAGGAGAATTGAATGAGGAAGGGAGATGTTCCTTGCTCTGATGCTTGTTTACTGCATGTTACTTTTGAAACCACATAGTTTTAACACAAAAACAAAAACCACTGAAGGCTCCTCTTTCTAAAACAAGGTCCTTATTCTGGTACTGGTAACGGTTTTGAGACATCAAAAAGCTAGATAAGCACTATTCACTAAGAAAGACACGTTCTTATCATTACACCACTTACACTGCATACAACCAAAACTGAAATTCAGGAGATGCTGAAAATAATTGAATTCTATACAACAGAGATGTGGAAAAAAAATGAGTGTGCTTAAAGCAGAAGACACTCTTGTCCAAAAGCTAACTCCCTACAGCCTTGGGATTTTATTCTACTACTCCAAGAGAAGGCATCCACTGGTTATACAGATGCTATATGCTATGGTTTCCTGTAGTAACATAGTCAGAGAACCTTACTATAATTGCTGAAGCAAGTATAGTAAGCGTCCAAAGCTATTCTTCTACTAGTGTCTGTAAAACTGAAGAAGAGTAATTCGAAGCAGCCATCTATTTAAGCAGAAGAAAGCTCTTTTACACTTTGCTTTTATGTGCACACAACTGTAGAGTGAAGAAATTGGCATGCTTTCTATTACTTTTCCTAACCAGGTGTTAAATTTATGTATACCTCACTTGAAGGCACTATGAGAAAATACTCCTGTATTTTGTTTTACAGGATTTGTAAAGAAATATAACATCCTGCCTTTTTTAAAATGTAGGGAAGGAGAAAGGCTCTGTCCACAAAGCAGTTTATCCTCAGAAATAGCACAGTTTAGCACTAGACGTGCCACAGGAAGAGGGGGGAGGGATTATAGCACAAGCCTCTCCATTGTACTGAAAGAAGACTTTTCCTATGGATGGGCCATCATCCTGTTATGTGGCTCTGAACTTCCTCCTGCATTGTGAGCCTCAAGTCATGGAAAGAGTAAAGTTCTTAAACTGAGGATTGTGTTGGGAATTCCAAAAACTTTCAATACAAGTTAACCAAACAAATACATCACGGTCAGATTGTTAACATCCTGGTTTAGTTTGCTGAAGCCACTATTCTTTTGAAAAAATAATGTAATCAGGAGAACTCTGGATAGATATCTTGCTACTTCTTCCAGGTTCTGATATCATTCAGACCAACTGCAAAAACCTTAGCTAGAAAGCTAAGTACAAAATGCAAGACAACACATTTGTCTAAAATCCAAGGAATCTTACTATATCTGCATTTGGGAAACATTAGTTTAAAATCTAAAATGCTGAAGTTTCAGTTTCAAAAGTGCAATCTGTAAAAGGCTGTTGTAAACCTGCTACCTTAGTAGGAGGTCACCTGCCCCCTTAAGAAAAAAAACATTACCAACATGGAGCAAAGTGACTAAGGAGCTATTAATGTTAGGTTAGAACTTGTAGCATGTGTTCCAAGAAGAGAGTACAGTACATACCAGTGCCATTGCAATCTATGCAGTCAACTGTGGAGCAGCCTGGCTTATGCCACTGGCAGAGTCTAATTTGTTGCAGCTACAAGTATGCTACATTAAAACAGCTCTACAATTACCTGATAGCCTTCTGTTTTTTTCTGGCACCATTTCAGCAAGGCATTTCTCTTCGATCCTCCATATTCTCTTGCAAGGGCAGACAAAGGATCTTTCCTTTCTTCCCTAGGAATGAGGGAGAAGTGCAACTTATAACTAATTATTTATCTTTCACGACAGACCCACATATTACAAAAGCTAAATAAACCCCATCATGAATTATTGTGACTGAAAGTAGTAAGGTGCAGCATTAATAAGAACAAGAATACAGAGAGATACCTGCCAGACTTAAGAGTCACCTTGGTGAAATACTTTCATTAGCAAACCACGTCTGCTTTTCCCCCTTAAACTCCTAGGTATTTCAATCTCAATGATATTATTTCCTAACAGTTTGGAAAGTAAACTTGGAATATTCTAAGTTCCAGCTGAACCATTAAGCTAACTCAAGTGACTTTATTTTGTATTTAGAAAGAGAATAAACTGATGTTATCTCTTCTGCACCTCATGGCTGATTACAAGTGTCACCTTGAAGCAACAAGTTTGCATATTAGCCACATGTCATTACTAACAGAACATTTGCCTGGGATCTGGAGTTCTGAAAAAGGACAGGGGAGATCTACTTTGTTGATCTGCTACCTGATATACTGGAACAATAACGATTCACCCTTTTTAAAACATCAAAGTTCAATTCCCCAAAAACAGCCATCTGTAGTGAAGATATTGATGAAAAGACTGCTGTTATGCAACTTAGTTACTGGATGCAAAGTGTGTGAGCAGTTGCTCTTGTTTTTCACAGAATCACAGAATGTGTGAGGTTTGAAGGGACCTCTGGGTCCACATGGCACGACCTGTGCTGAGGTAGGATCATCCACAGCAAGGTGCCCAGGCCTATGTCCAGGTGGCTTCTGAAGATCTCCCAGGAGGAGACTCCACAGCCCCTCTGGGCAGCCTGGGCCTTTCCTACATTACCTGCACAGCGTGAAGTGCTTCCTGATGGCCAACCAGAACCTCCCTGACAGACAGTCCCCCCTGAACCTCCTCTTCTCCAGTCTGAACAGTTTTAATTATCTTGGCACTGACCATTTTGTGTCATCTTCAAACTTACTGAAGGGTGCACTCTGCTCCATCACTCAGATGGTTAATGAACACAGCTAACAGAACCGGATGCAGTACAGAACCCTGAGGCATGCTGTGAGCAAATGGCTTCCAGCCAGACTTCACACCACTGAACTGCTCACCAAGCCCATTCAGAACAGCCTGGCTATGAGGATCCTGTAGGGACAGCATCAATGGCCTTACTCAAGTCCATCTCAGAGGAGGTCAAGGAAGGTCACCAAAACAAGTAAAAATGGGGCTGCATATTCCATCTACAATCAAGATAATGCAACACTACGAGAGCTTCAGCACAGAGGTTTGGGACAGTCTATTAGAACTCAAATTTAAAGCTCCCTCTCTTTACATTAAACCATACTGTTTAGCTGTGAGTGAGCTGTACAGCCTGTCTTCAGATTCCAGTAAATGCACACGGTTTATATTAAGTCCTCACAGTTAAGAAAACACTCCTGAAGGAAATAAAGTAGTGTAAGTTGTATGGAGACTATGAAAAATAGTATGACAGATAAATCCTATAAGTTAGCTTATTAGGTCAACTGAATTCTTACCCAAAGTAAGCCCATGAAGTTTCAGCTAGAACAGGGAACAGTAAACTGCAAATGTTTGTTTTAGTAAACTATAGCAATAGCTGCTTATTTTACCACAGTGTTCAGAAAAAGGTAAGGGAGAGAAACCTCCATCCCAAAACCACACAAGTCCAGCAGCAGTGTTATGAGGAGTGTTCCCAGAAGTCCATCTCTCACTGCCACACACACCTCTGCAGACCACAGTGCTGCTCCTGTTGGAGAGCTGGGCCTTGAAATGACACATCATCTGCCACAGTCTGCAGGCTATCATCAGTGCAAGTTTATGTTATCAGTTCACAGTTCATACACAAGTCTTTGAATCTTTTTTATTGCTGGGCTTACCTGGTCTAAATTTTGGTGTTAATACACACATAATTCACTGCTGCTGGTAAAGTAACCACAGATCCAAATTCAACTTACTTTCTGAAAGGAGAGCAGCAGCGAGGCATGTTTCAACTGATTTCAGGGAAACATTTTTATTATCCCCCCAGTTGTAAATAGCTTCACAATTTCATAATGTAATTATTACAGACTGTAATGTCTCTGAAGGCTGAGGATATAATACTACTGCTGTACAAAAACTGTCAGTTCTACATTAAACAGACCTGAGAAAGTAATTGAGTCTGCCAGTTTCCCAATGTAAGAGGCAGGGCTAAGAACATACTTTACTTGCATAACATGAGGCTTAAATACTTTGAACTCCTTAACTGATAACATTGATAAATTTAAACACTTTCCTATCTGTCAAGACTTTTGTTTTTTTTATCATGCTAACAAAAAAGGGGTGCCTGGCCAGTGTTACCTAGGCTTGCATTATGACTTCATGTGTGGTACATACAACCCAGGCCCACTGACTCCTGGCTATTCAGAAGGCTTGGCAGTGTCTGGAATTAAGACCTAGTTGTGCTGCTTTTCTTCAGCCGTGATTACTAAAGTAGAAGTTAATCATGTGTTCTCCCCTGGACCAAATCACTCTGAAAGGTTTGTTCAGCATGCTGGAGCTCATTTCTTGGACTTGCCTTTACAGTATTTTGAGCAGATGTGATGTTATTATTTAGTGACATCATTTAGTTTGGTTTTCTAGTGTAGCATATAGTTCTGGTATAGAGCCTATAAGCTCTAAAAACTACACTGAGCTGCAGCAAACTTCAGAAAGCTTCACTTTCTGAAGTTCTCAAAGGTTACTGAAGATTGTTTCCTAGGAGAGGTCTGCAGTCTTCCTACCAATATTATATTCTAGATACCTGTAGACAGATAGCTGCAAAATTAAAATCTTAGTTTATCACAAAAAAGGGCTTTTACCTTATTCGACTTCTGGTTGTAGGGGTGACTGATGCTGTAGGGGAGGATGAGAGGGACAGCTGTGGTGAGGTGGTACCCATTGCCATGAGAGATGCTGGAGATGCTCCATCGGGCGCGCTGATATCCCGCTTGATTTCTTCACTACTTCTTCGAGACACTGTGTGGTAAAAAAATGTCCATGTATTTAACATTTCCAACATTAAATCTTTTGAATTCATTCCTAATCTCTAATAACCACTGCTTCAAAAACTACGAATGGAAATCCATACGTGATACTAGGTTTTAACATTTACTTCACGTTTCCTATCTAAAAAGTACCAAGGATTTAGAGATCAGCTATACTGATAAAGTCTGTATCTAAAAGCAAACAAAATTTGATGAATGCATCTAACAGCATATCATTACTTGCACTGGGAGAAGGACAACGTGTTTCTCTGCCTCCTTATCTCTGTTTGAAGAAAAAACTACATTTAAAGCAGTAAAGCGTAACAGCCAGCTACTGTTTCTTGGAACATATACTTCCAAGCCAAAATTACTTCTAATGCAAGGATGACATAGGAGCTGTTACATGCAACAATAAGGACCTAGAAAAGCAATTAAAAATCTGTTCAGTTTCACTTAATGTGATAGATACTGTTTTTTAACCACCAGACTTCTTTTCCATTGTTTGGTTTTTCTGTTGTATGTGAGGAAAGCTACTCCAAAAATCCAATCTATTGACAAAATCTTAATGGTGTGAACATAAAAGGTCTCTCTTGAAAAAGTAAGACAGATCTGGAAGTACATGATTGAAATAAGAGTTCCTAATTTTATTTGTCATCTAGAAAATGTGGTATTACCCGAAATAGATTTGGCACTTTCCATTGCAGGAACTCTTGGCAAAGATGCTGGTCTGCTGGTAGAAGACGTTCTCAACAAATGTTCTGCAGAAAGAAAATGAAGACAGAACACTATTTTCAAAGATGCCAGTTAAGCATAAGTGGTTAGGTACGTGTTATGAATACTGCTTATCAGTGCCTGAATTTCGCTCTTTTACTGAGAGCTATAGATCCTTTTCTATATGAAAGAGAAGGCCCAAAATTTGCACATTACCAATACAGTTCACTCATGTATTATGATACATTCTTAATCCTTTTACAGTATGGCCTCTCTTACACATGCAGCTGCCCTGGGCTACGGTAAGGGAATTGTTAAACCAAATTCCAAGCAAGGAATCCCCGCTTCAAATGCAGCAAAAACTGCTTGATGTGTCACTCACAATGTGGACTGGCAAAGCACATTGTTTTGTCTGTTATGTGAACTCATTTTGTTGTTGTTGTTGTTTGTTAGTTTGGTTGATTTTTTGTTTGTTTTTTAAACAAAATCTTGCTTTCTTGTCTCCTCATGCAGTGGGATTCAAGAGGTATCTTAACAAACCATAGGGAAGAACTGTTCTGCCCACTGCCATTGAGTGAAATCAAACTGCAACAAAACCAATTTATGAAGCATTCAATTAGAAGTAGCAACCTTTTTGTTAACTACCCTTCTAAATAAGTATTCCTTCAGCTAACACCTTAAACTGTATGCAAATATTTACATATTCCTGTTGCTGCAGGAACACACACAAGACAGTAATTTGAGTACAAAAATCATGAAAAGGATGAATTATGATTCAAAATAAAATGCTAAACCCATTTCAATAGTTGACCAAAGAAGCATACATTCCTAATAAAGATACTTTAAAACTATATACAGTTATGAACAGGGATTCTGTCTGGCATATTCTCTGTTGGAATGTAGTCCTGATCCTGTGTTGACTGTAATGAAAACACAGAAACTATGTAAAGCACACCACTCAGTTTGTGTTCAAGCTTATGTCTACTTATGAACTCTGCAACTATTAAAGAATCCTAAACTACCTTCTTGGAAAGGCATTTCAGAATTCCTAAAAATATCAAAGTTTCTAAAATTAAAACTCCAGCTGCATTGAGCAAAACTTCAATTCGCACTGAACAAATGCAAGAAGGAAATCTGGCACGTACAGACCATTACAAAATGTTACATGCACAAAAAGTACCCTTTATAAAGCATCAGACCTCAGGAATACCAAATTGAGAGGAAATATTCAGTCTGGAGTCATATGGGTATTATCTCAAGAAACATCTACAAAAAAAGCCTAAAACAGGCATAAATCAGAGAGCTACGCCCAACACATGATAGCCATTCATTCTCACAGGAAGAGCACATTGTGAGCAGTGCTTTTAGAGACAAAACAAAGTTCACAGAACAGTGAATTATTGGAAAACAGATAAATCAACACTCAATTTAATTCCATTCAATTTTTCATCTGGCTCCTGAAGATTCAATATTTATTAAGTTTATATTTTGTTATTCACGTGCAATACAATGCCAAGTATCATCCCAGTTTCTGTTTGGAAAAAAAAACCCAAACACAATACATCATATGGCCCCAGAGGTGAAAACAGCAGAACAAAATCATCCTGAATGTCTCACATCTTGATTTTGCAAGTGATCACAGTTTATGCACACATGAAAAACAGATTCATGTCCAGTTATCTGGACAAAAATGTGGTTTTGTTGAAAATTCACTGTGTTTGATGAAACAAGTAATAAAACGTTTTTGTTTCTTATTTTACATTAAAATATAACAAAGTCAAAATAGTTTGCTTTAGCATTATATAATACAACAATGCTTTAGATAGTAAACAATGTAAGATATAGAAAAGTAGCACTGCTAAATAAGTGTAAACAAACTCGAGTGATTACCTTGAACAGGGATTTCAGCATAGCTTGGTCTTTTGTCTGTCAGTGTAGCAAGGGGTTTAGAAGCAGAGATTGGTCCACTTATAGAATGCCTCTGAAACAGAGAACACAGTGTTGTCAAACATAGTTTGGTATATACAAACTGAGTAAAACAGAATAAAACTTACAAAACACAACTTCTAAACATGCTTTCAAGAGGGGAAAAAAATGAAGTGGCTTTTTTCAGGTGTTTATCCTGAACTCAGCTTTAACCTTTCAGAGAAGCTTAAATGAGCTTTATCTTTGTGAGATAATAAAGCTCTGATGTTTCTCACCAAATCATGTAGTCAAGACAGATGAATCCAAAACTGTAATAGAAAAGTTCATAGTATCTATACACTGCAGCATCCTATAGCATAGGCAGGACTACAGGGCTACTTATCTAGCATTTGGAGTCTAATATCATGCTTTTGTGTTAGAAATCAAATGGAGAGCAAAGAGCTGCCAATAGCTAAGAATCCAAGTACAAAATACAGTATGAAGAATTTTATCATGTGATATATCAAAAGTCTTGTCTGTATGCAACAAAGATTATTCCTTTAAACACGTAAATGAAAGTGACTGTAACCATGAGCCACACACAGCTCTCCCTATAACAGCTTCCCATGAGAATTGGTATTTCAGGTTTTCGTTACCTTTAGAGATGATTTCATCTCCTCAAGTGTTTTTTGTTTGTTTTTTTTAATAATAAAACACTGCATCACAGTGACAGCCTCTTTGTTTCTAATAAAGAAGTAAATAAAGGAAACGATAACAACAGTAAGGTGATGAGGCTGGATAACATCATGTCACTTGGCCAGCTTTGGGACTGTCACTAGGAAGGCAGAGCAGTACAGAGCTTGGTCAGGAAAGGCAGGTACACACAGAGTAGGCACACTGCTGGATCACCACAATGCTTTATCACGTTCTGAGCTTCCGGGTATCACTGAAAAACAAACATCCTTTACGGATATTGGCAGAAAATGACCACATTACTCAACTGATAGCTTGCTATATCTTGGTCCTGTCTCCTCGTTATAAAACAAAATGTTTGTTTTGCTGCTTTTTACTCCTATTGACACTGCAGACTGAGCTTAACTTCGCTGTTGCTAGTTCCTCGTTAAATATCTTACTGTTACAACTATCAGTAGTAACATACTGACTCAGGAAATGAGAGGAAAACAAACCAACTAATATGTTCATACATCAAGTTCTCCCTGGCAATACTCTGGCAGTAATAGTGCACAAGTGTCTCATGAAGAATTACTTTTCCTGAAGCATTTTACAAGTATTAGAAACATTTCTGCTCAAGTGAGCTTCTGTTGAAGCTGCAGATGAATCATTCACCATTTCACTTACATCTGATGCACAGTGAAACACGTATGGATCCTACCAATTCCTTGATAAACAGACTTTGTTTTCCTTCAACTAGAAATGTACTCAAACTTGTTTAACTGCTAAACAACAATTTGCCTTAACACTAGTGATCAAATTCCTCAACACTAAATAAAACAAGATCCAAAGTTTTCAGGAATCACATGCTTTGTGAGGCTACTCATGGAGACTCCCAATGAGACAGAAATTACTCAAGATGCTTTATAATCTGTTCTCCTGGTTTTCATTCACCCCACGCTGAGGTCTAGCAAAGTAGTACTTCAGATGAGGTGCAATGAAGAAAATTGTTCACTTAGATGTTTTTATGTAGTAGTCTCTGTATAATGTAATTACAATAAGAGATAAAATTAGGGTTATTAAGATCATCACCAGTTACTTTCCCACAGCCATTCCTGGCCTCTGTTAGCTGCCTGTTACTCTCTTCTTTTCCTTGTGTAACAAGAGTTAACAGCCCCAGAAGAGGAAAAGGCACACAAGACAGAAAAAAGAAGGAGAACAAACATCTGACACTTCAAATTTGAGGCAGAACTACGGCAAGAAGAACAAATTCCTTCAACTTTTGCTTCAGACTCTTAATTGGTGCAATCTGCTGTTAGCTGTGACAGAAACGTGACCTTCAGCTACTATCCAGGTATCTATTTCTGACCACTCTGCACTTCAGTACATACTTAAATGAGTACCTCAATAAGATGTTATGCCAATTTCAAAATAAGCACAGCTCTTTGCACACTAAGTAGTTACACTGTGGAAGTTTGACACTGAATAGCCTGGAGCCTGAAAGCTTCTTGCATGCTCAAAACAGAACTGGACATTCACTGGTGAGCAGGGAATCTGAAACCACATCTGCTTCTTTCAACTACAAAATTGAAAAAGAAAGTACCTGGGGAAACCAGCAGTTATAATTCTCCATTCTTATAAACCCTTCCATGAAACTGCTTTGCCACTTGTGGGTTAAGTTTTACTGCGTTTTACATTCTGAAAAGCAATGTGTTTATGTATGTTTTTCCCAACTGTTTTGCAATATTGTTAAGGTCTGGTATACAACCACTAAGCTTTACTATGGGCTCAGACCCAAAGCTAGAACGGGGTTTTTGGCTGGTTGTTTTCCATTTCTCAGTAAGTGCCAACTCTAGTATTTCCTGTGACAGCTTTTAAAAGTATCTGATAATAAGCACTGCAACAGTCATATAGAGAACAACCCTTCTACCTTTACTCAAGATCTTAAACCACAGATTAGTTCTGTAAGGTGAGAGATTCTATAGATCAACTCATACAGCAACCACTTATAAAAAGACTGCTTTACAATTTCAAGAGAACAAAAAAACAAAAAACACAAAAATTTCCTCTTCTTACAAGAGAACAGAAATAAACAGAATAGAAAGGAAGACCAACAAAAACAAAGCACCTACCAGAGAATGTCACATTTAAATACTTTAGAAATTGTCATCAAGAGTGACAGACCTCAAAAAAGAAATCATTCAAGTAATACACTGAAGACAACAGGAGGATTACTGACATTAAAAGCATAAGGTGTATCAATTCGTTGGGGATTTTTTGAGAATCTGGAGCCATCTTTGTCCTTAAGTTTGTTTGCTTTTGCTGTAATCTCTTCAAGCAGCCAGTGTGACCATAAAAACAGCAGCTATCTATCAAGCTGAGCATTAATGTATTGATGATACATTCTTTAGTGTAGTGTTGTCTCCTTTACCTAGACTCCTAGAGCAGCTGAACACGTGGACAAAGCTTCAAAGGAGACATAACAGAACACACAGCATAGTCAGCAACTGGACAAAACTCTGAGCCAGTACAAAATGAACAAAGATAATCAATTTACAATGACTTCATTCCTCTCTGGTCAGGTCTGGTAATAAAAGTATTACCAGACCTGTATTAAAATGTATCCCACGCAACGTGGGATACATTTATACTGATGACTGCTGACAAACTGCACAGATCTCAGTCCACTTCCCAAAGGAGGTAACTGCTGCTTCCATGCAAGGCACAAGACTAAGAACTGATAAACAGCAAGTCCAAAATTAGGGAATGTTAGATAGTTTTCCTCTCATACTCCTCAGCAGCACAGGTATCATAAGAATTTTTAACAGTTATCAATAACTTTCAAATTTTGTTGTCATATCTTGTATATACAATAGGGTTTGCCATACAGGACTCTCTAGGGAAGCACAGGGTAGGGTAGAGTGTTCTGCAATTTTTCTTTAACTGCAATGCTTAAACAGACATCACACAAATGGGACACATAACAAAACATACCTAAGTTATGATAACGCCCCTAACAAGAAAATAAGCTTTTAAGGAGATATCTTCACATGGACCTGAGCATTGGGGATAAAGAAGGAAGAGACATAGCCTGTATCTGAGCAAAACCACAGCATTTTTTCATTTCTCAAATACAGCTGCCTAAGTGCCATTTTCTCAGAGGTCTCCTTGAGGGAAATATGCTTTCATTAGAATGAACATTTTAGTAGCTACTTACTTGCAGCATCATTTTATCATTATGTCCCCATAAAGGCAACTAACATTTGATATATTACTGCTTGTAGGTTCACGTGCTCTTCTTCACAAAGAATTAAATGCAGCCATAAAATACGTACCTGCATAGGGGATACAGCAGCAGCTGGGGGTGTCTTCATGGGACTCGGGCTCAGAGGAGTGCGAGGAATGGTGGCAGCAGCAGGGCTTGGAACTGGAAGAAACACAGCAAGGAAGCCATCAGGAGCACTGCCCCATTTTCAATGAACAAGCAGACTGGTTGCATGTAGCAAACTCTCCATCTGTTTTATTCTCCTAATTCTACAAGATCACATCTTGAAAAATTTCAGGTAGCAACTGCCTGCAAAACCACTTAGAAGTATGCCATCACTTCTCCACAGTTACATTCATTTTCTGTATTGAATATCTCAGTCACAGTAAAAACATTTCTAAGTTTACTAATATTGCAATATTGATAATATAATCTACTTTCAGCCAAGCCTTTCTGCATCAAAAACTTAGTGACACTATCAAAAATGAAACTTAAGGCCAAAAGGCTTGTGGCACATAAAATATTTCCTTCACCATTTCAAATGTAGTCAAACCTAAAATTAATTTCCCATTTTAGGGTAATTACTTGGATTCTTTATTATCTATAGAGGACAACAGTGGCTGTTTTCACAACCAGAAAATTACAGTGAATATTGTCTCAACAGTGAAATCCCTCTCATCTCAAAAGATATCCTTTATTTATTTAATGGTGAAACTGGTTGGAGCTTGTTTTTAACTTTCATTAGCACTGACTGCAAGCACATAAGTTATAAAATGAAACAAACTCAGTTCTAGCTATTGCACGGATTTAAGAATGCTTAATTCAGCAGGTAAGTTCACAGCTTAACAGAAAGGCTGAAGTCAGCTGTGCTTCCATTCCAGGTACAATTATGTCATGTGAGTTTATGTATTTCCAATACGAGGCAGCGCTGAATCAAAGTGTGTAACATATGAATCACTGGCAATTTGACAGAGAAGGAAAAATAAGGATAAAAAACGATGCTTGCCCTCAACCACTGGGAATAACCTGTTGTGCAATCTAATTTAGGTTGATTTGTTTCAGCTATCACTTATAAATCATGATGGCACAATAAAACAACTTATCTGTGAATTAGCTAAGCCATTACAAGTATTCATGTCTACGCATCCAAAATCATAACTTGGCACTGGCTGCACATAGTTACCTTGGGAGGCACTGTCAAAGGACTTGATGAGTGTTTTGACAGTTGGAGTTGGCTCTGAGGAAGTGGATGATCTGCGGCTCAGGCCCATTCCCTGTCTCAGAGCTGCCAAATCTCTCTCTACAGCATTCATGTAATTGTACACTCGCCCGCGTTCCTCTTCCTGCCTGAAATCAATATGCAGCTGTTTAAGGCATATAAAGCCACCTAACATACAAAGTGTTAAAACAGGAACATAAATTTGAAGTCAAATTAAAATCTATAGAGAAAAGAATTAGTTATTAACCCAGTTTTCTTTCCACTGTGATTTAGGAACAGATCATCATCCTACATTATCAATTTAAGTCAGCAAGAGAGCTTAAACACCAGACAAAAAGTCTATCAAATCAATACTCCATTTAAGGCTTAATTTCTGTTAATTTCTGTTCCTCTCACATATACAAACATGCACACATGCATATGTGTATTGAAAATTTAAGGCTCAAAAATTTCACCATTTCACATGAAAATAATCAGCTCATATATTTTTGAAATAATTATGAGTGGAAAGAAAACAGGACAAGATATATGCAGAAGAAGGTTTCTTCTCGTGTAAAACAACATCTGTATTTATCATAGCAAAAGCCCTGGCTACTAAGGGGAAGCACTCATGATACACAGAAAAGTTGACACTGCTTATTTTCCATACTGAGGGTAGATAATCAAGTCCAGACATTAACTGGGAAAAAGCCTCTATGAGAAACAGGTTTGTACCAAAGTGCCAAACTATTCTTGGAAGAGGAGTATATAAAAGAGAAATAACTTTTTCATCTCCATTTACCCACATTACTCCTGAAAGTCTGCATAAGGCAACTTGTTTACAGTGAAAGGAAGAATTTACAGCTTCCAGAGTCTCAATAACACATACTGAATTTTCAAAATCATATCTCCCCCCACAAAACAGACAATATTCCTATTGCCTCTTGCATACTTGCGTGACTTGATTTCCTCCAACTCTTTAGTGAGCTTCTCATTTTTTTCCTGAGCTTCATGTAATCTTCGCTTTAGGTCTCCTATCTCTTCCTGGGCCTCAGACTTTATATCATTTGCTATAACCACTGCAGTCTGGAGATCAGCTTGGAACTGACGCCATTCTGCTGACTCCTCCTATAAGCAAATAAAACGTTAAACTGAAAGCAGCAGCAAGAATTTTGATGTTAAAAAAAAAAAAAAAAAAAAAGTTATGCATATTATTCATATTTTCCCCATGTTACTACAACAAACAATTTTCAGGAGTGATTAAGGCACTCACCACTGGCACTGTGCATAACCTAACTTACATTCAACAGGTTTTGCTAGAAACAACTTCGAAGGTCAAAAATTTATTTCCCAGAAAGAAATACTATTCATACTATTGCAAATGTATGTATTAAACCATACGTCAGCAGACACAGGAACATGTTCACCCAAGTCCAACACCACATTTCTGGAATGCTGAGAGTTTTTCTGAATTAATCTTCAGTCTCTGTAAATTAGTAAATATATTTCCCTGTGATGCCTTGCTCTCACCAGTAACTTTAATGGCATTACATTTAATCATATTACTTTTTCCATAGTTTATTGTGTTTTTAGGTTTTCAGCCTACCCGGAGTCTCCTGTGAAGATTTTTGATCTCTCTTTCCATGTCATGCTTTTGGTCCTGAAGTTTTTTAACTGTATCTGGAAAGAAAGTAAAATTCTCTGTATCATTGTACTCAGGGCTCTACGTACTTAAGAAACAATAACTGAAACAACCCATAAATGTTTTTTAAATCTTACTCAGAGAACACTTTTGTACAATCAGAGCCATCTGGAGAAAAATAGCATTATTAGAAATAATATGACAGAAAAACTCAATAGGTACCTTCTGCTCTGTGACTGGTGGGGGAAAAGCAAAAATGAACAATTCCTGTCACAACACTAAGATGACAAAGCAGTAACAAAGAACAAATAAAAACAGTATGTACTATTTTTATTTGGTAGATGGCCAAATTAACATGGAAAGATCCTAACATGGGTACGTTCAACTGGAAGCTGCAGCTACACTAAGCCTCCTGATCAATTTCCTCCTTTGCCACAAAGCAGCTGACAGAATCCTGTGTGCCTTCAGTGGGGATAAATTTCCACTCGGGTCTGCAAGAATTGTACATTCTTGTCTATCAAGCTACTATTTGGAGTAGAAACAAGGTACGTTTACAGCAAAGGGACGAACAGTCAATGCAATTGTGTTATAAAAGAGATGGTTCCTTGATTCTGTCAGCAGCCGTACAAAAGGGTGTGCAGGGTGATCAGCACCAGCTCCTAACACGGCGTCTGACAGGCTGGCTACAGCAATTATTATTCATTTGGTACTTTATTCAATACACAAGGACAGTGTGATTGATTACTCCATTCTTATAACTAAGCAACTAATGAAGAAGAACACAGCATAAGCCTCTCATTAGCGTGTCCCTTCACTGATCCTGGACTGGAAGATGTTTCATTTCTATAAAATCGTGTATTTCCAAGAGGTAAAACTGATAGGCCAACTGATTAACTGTGTTTTAGTTGAGGTTTGTTGCCTCAAGTTCTGCTGAAAGAAACACTATCAATATGTATTGGCAACAACCTTTTCATAAGGACTGAAGGTGCATAATACACTCATTCATGCAGACAAATTGATACCATAAGGTTTCAGAGGTCTCATTTCCCAGGATGAAACACTCTCCAGGATTCTGACCTGGTTATTAGGGTTCAGGAAAAACACTGAATCAATGGTTTGCTTCAAGTCAATGTTCTACCACTACCACCTTCTCTGCAAGCAAGCCTATCACTTCAGTACTCCTTGTCTTCTGCCAAATTGCTCTTCATAACAATAAAGAGAAGCTGTGGCAGACTAAGGGGAACACAGCATTTCAAAACGTTTAAATCAAATGCAACAATGACTAAGTACACATTTAAGCCCACTTATGCTGATATGTACCTCCAAAAGCCTCAGCTAAGCTCACAAGAACATTACAATTTTTCAGGAATTCTTTCTGGTTTCTTCATCAGAAGAAATTCTTCAGTGTTGTCTCTACAGCCCCAGTTCAAAGGCTTTAAATGCCATAGCTGATTTCTGTACAAGGATGATATAATCCTCAGTGGGTCTGAAACCATGATAACCTCTCAGGCTTGCAAAAGTTGAAACAGTAAAATTAGACAGATGCTTCTGTATGAATCTCATTCTTACATGACTGCACAATTAAAGATGCATCCGACTGATCTTTAAGCTTTGAAGACAACCTTAACAGAGCAAGTCACTCAAATCACATGCTGCTGTGATACTCTCTTAAGTTCTCCCATTTTCAGCTTGTCTGCATATAAAACTTGGTTGAGATAATGTCAGCACTGAAATGGCAGCTTCAGGTGAAAATTATACAAGTTGCTCCCACTCCCCACTGTTTTTTTCCTTTAAAAATATGCTAAAAACCACCAGCAGCTAAAAAACAACAGCAGAACACCAACACAACACTGCAAATTAGGTACCTTTCAGCTGTGATGGCAAGTATAAAGAGCTTTCAGTAGCACTTTGAAATGAAATCGAGTGGATGGTGGTCCTTTTAACAAGAGATTCAAAGAATGTTTTTTAGAATAAATTTGTTCTACTACTGAAAGCAAGCCGCAGTACATCTAAAAATAACCACAAACCAGAAACTATAAATGCATCCAGAGCTAAGGTTGTATAATGCCATTGTTTTGGGCTTTTGTGAGATATGAAACGCACCATTAAGTTTTAGTATATTTATGCTTTGAAGTAAAACACAATGGTCTGAATATTCTGCAGTTACCATAAACAGTACAGAGCATTTCACAGCAGCTGTTGGAAACAGTTACCTCTGCACAAACCTCAAATCCAGCAAAGAGATTCAGAAAAACAGAACTGAAAAGAACTTGAAACTTAGAGAGACTGAGATAAGGGATTTCCCCTCTTACAGCTCAACTCCACTCTTCATATTGTGCCACCAACTGCAGGCCACAGAGCCAAGCAGTAACAACAGGCAGGGGGCAGCAGCTTCTGTGCAGCTGCTCTGTGATACAAATAATTAAAAACTAATGCTCAATTTATTTTTCCAACATTATGAGAAAAGGACAAAACATCATTTGTGAAAAGTGAGCTTGATAACTGCTGTCAAGGTCCTTTTGAAAATGAGATAATATCAAAAAGTAATTCTGACAGCCCTATAGTAGAAGTACTCATCCACTCACTGATCACCTACTCTTGTCCAAAATATGCACTGACAGAAATACTGATGGATGAAGAGAATCGATACGTTTAACACTCGTACCTTGCAGTAAGTGAACATACAACAAGTATCTTCAGGCATCAGAACATTTGACAACATACAAGTTAACCTACAAACATTAATTTTCTACAAATCACGATACAAAATCCTCCATACCAATTCATCTGTAACTGCTGGGAAGAACAGATTTATTTTTTCCCTCTGTTAGCCAAGATGATGACTGCGCCAGCTTGGCTACCCGACTACTGAAGTCTGTCTGAAGTGGCACACGAAAAGCAGAGCACAAACGCCACCTAGTGCAAGGCTCTGCTGCAGCCCTCCTGCTCACCAACACCTCTGTGTCAATGCTCAGCCCAACAAAGGCTGCTTTAGCTTGCTGTGCCTAGTGATAACAAGGAACTTATGACTTATTTCACTATTTCTTTTCCAGATTCAGTCCAGAATCACTATGGCTAAGACTCCTTATCCCACTGGTGGCACGTTCAGGTGGCACTGCCTGCAGGCCCTGCCACTCCTGGGCTGACTGCAAGAGCATACTGCGTGCCTTTAATGTCACTGATATGACATTGGAATTCCACTGTCCTTATCTAAGAGATCACTGTCTTTTTTCAGGCACTCATATTCATATAACAACTGCTAAAATGTGATAACTGAATATTCCAATAGCTGTGAAACATGTTTCATTGCATGATCCTTAAACTACTTCGTAGAATTAGGAAAGCCTGCAATGAAGCATGCCCCAAGCAGTCAGGCTGGAGCATCGCGTGATCCTACGTGACTTTTTAGTGTAGTGGCTCATCAACACTGGATGCAAACTCACCAGCTCATAAATGAAGCATCTTCCTCCTAATTGTAAAGTCTCTCTTCTGCGATTTCATTAAGAGAGAATTTTCTGCCATTTAACACCTGCCATTTATCTGTCGTCTCACCACCACTCTCAATTAGCTGGCAAGTTTGTCATTAGGCAAGCTCTCTCACATTCTCTTAAATTCTCCCATATTTGACACTGGGTAAATGAGAGATTGCCATATTTTAAAAGCTTAGGAAAAAAAAAAAAAAGCTTTTATTGCTCTTTATTGCATTTAGTTACTTAGGCTAAAAAAACCACCATTCCCCTGACTAGTGCTTACATAAACCTGCAACACATCTCCACATTTAAAAGCATAGTATTTGGTAGAAAAACAGATCTGACCACAGGTCTGATCAACAGAAGAGAACTTAGTAGTAAGATGTACGTTTCTGTGATTTCAATACAAATTATTAAAATTCTGTGTTACATGTTGTATACACTCCCACAATTCTTCCTGTGCAATCCCTCCTTATGGTCGCTAGATGCCACTCTCCAGATGCTCGTTTCCTCCAGAAGTAACCACACCAAACAGCCCAGCTGACTTTTCAGAACTATTTCTGCAGAGATGAGTAACAGACTACAGCAATTTTTGTTGAAAATCTCAGCACCAATAGAATTTTTTCCAGCAGCATGTTTACCAGTTTAACTGTTACAGCAGGAACATTCATACAGAATGTCTGTCAAAATGACACGCCCTATTCCCAAGGCAGAAGCATCCAAAAATTAGAGCTGCCTTGTAATTAGGTATTACTAAATAAACACCTAAACAGTTATTTGACTGTATGAATGAATTTCAGTTAAGACAAAAAAAAATGCAGGCAGAGAAGAGTTCATCTTTTGCAGTGTTTGTTATAAAATGACTTCAGGAACAACATCAGAGCTGCTGCCCACACACCTGACCTCCCATTCCTGAATACGTTCCTTTGGCTGGAGCACAGAAAGAGGAGGAAAAAGAATAAAAAGCTAAGGCAGTTTTGTAAAGTGAAACAGCAATTGTCTTGCAAGATAAGGAAACACTGCTTGGGGAAACTAAGCTGACACCCACATCTGAAAATACTGCTCTTCAACTGAATAAATAGTTTTGATTACTTAAACCACTATCTTTCCTTGATAGCAGACCAATTTAAAATACCTGCTACAAACATTTTACTTACAGTGAAAAGGAATAATACTTTGGCTATTCATTATTTTATTTAGAATAGTAGACATCTGAATTCCCCAAGTAGCACAGTGGAAATAACAGCTTTCAGAAGGTACAGCTGCCCAAGCTCTTGTTCAGATGGAGACTAATTGCAGAATTCCAGCCTGTGGTAGGAATGTCTGAGCAGGTCTGAGAGATCAGAGAGGGAACGTAGGCACAGACAGATAGGTGAGTGTACAGTAAATATGAATTTCATTACAGCCTCCAACCATTTCTTGTACAGTGAGTCAACAGAGGGAAGAAATCATCAGTTATTCACATTCTCAAACTATCAGGTAAACCCTGGGATTCAGGTACTTGAAAAAGAGAGCATTATTTAAAAAATAAAAATAAAAAAATCAATCACCCAGTTTCGAAAATGCAGAAGTAGCACACTATTATTAAGTCTGCAATTACATGTTTTCCTACTTTAAAAAAAAAAAAACCTTGAAAACAGTATTATCAGATTTCAGATTTATTCTCAATTCACGGGTTTTGGTTCACACACCAACTGACACTGGGACTGGAAAATCTGGCTTTTTTTTTCCTTAACATTATAAGGGTGACTTGAACTCAGACAAATGAAAGACAAATGGGAATATTTTCACTGTTTCAGTGTTCTGCTTCATAAGTTCTTAAATTATCATTACCCTTCCACTAACAGCACATAACACTTACTCTCCAAATCAGATATGATGAGATTGTCATGAAGCTTCACAGCACGATGCTGCTCTACTTCATCCTCCAACTCAAAGATAGTTTCTTTCATGTCACTTCTCTCAGTTTCTTTCTCATCTAGCTCTGCCCGAAGTTTTTCTAGAGTCACATTAAGATCCTCTATTTGTTTCTTGGCTTCTTCTTGGAATACTCTGTATTCATCTTCAACCTGAAAAAGAAACACGTATCATAACTGAACTGAATTCCTTTAAAGATACACTTCTAGTTTTCTAGCTAGCATACCTGCAATTTATTTTTGGAACATAGGAAAGGGCATGGGCCAAGAAGTTAAACATAAGCCTCTAAAACTGTACGTGCAACTAATTTTCTGTGCCAGAGTCAAGCTCTTTTCTCTCTAGCTGAACAAATGAGCTTCCCTCAGCTACTCCAGCAGCAGAATCCTGTACTCAGGGAAAGCAGTAAGAACCACAGTACTCAGGTTTCAAGAGCAGCTGATGCAACTTAACATCTAGCTGCTATGGAAATGGGGGAAAAGTCTTCATCCTTTCTTTATCTTGCCAAAAGAAGTCCGTTCACTCTTGTGCATCGATATCAATGCTTGCTGGTTCCTTAACCTAGTAGCAAGACTCATATTTGTTTGCATGTGATGTGTCAGTGATTTGAAGCAGTTCCCAGAAAAGTCTTAGAAGCTACTGATCTGCTTAATTGAAAAAAACTCCCGACAGGGAAAGGAAAAGGCAGTAGACCTCTTTTCAGGAACAGCAAGACCATTTTATCCCGCCTCATGAAACTGCAGCTTAAATAACAAGCTGAGATCAGAGGCTCTTTAACATTCACTCCCATGCCCAACAGCAAAAAACAAGGTCATGGCTTAGGGCGGGTCAGCACAGGCACCAATTTTAATCCCTGCCTTAAATTACCTGCTTCAGTATTTATTTATTTATCTTAATAGCACTACCCAACTTTAATTATTAAAATTTTATTTTAATTTTTTTAAAATCTCTAATTAAGATTAATTCTAACTGGCTATTGATCTGCAATTAGCATATAGCTCAGACAACATATCTGACAAACTTTCTTATCAGGAAAACTTATCTTCAAATGGATAATGGCTAGGACATTTTATCTAGATAAGTTAGTTTCATTTAAGTCACAATAGATGTTCTAGAACTGCAACATTTGGATCCAAAACACAATTAACACACATGCTGCTCCTGGATGGATCATTAGTAAAAACCTTCATGTGTTTGCCATATTTAATGATTTTTTAAAAGCTTAAATTTTCTTTTTTCACTCAAAACTAAAACCTTTAGCTAGCAAATTAAATTACATGGAACACTTCCCCTACGAGGACAGGCTGAGAAAGCAGGGGCTGCTCAGCCTCGAGAAGGGAAGGCTCCTGGGGGACCTGACAGCAGGTTTGCAGATGTTTTCAATATCTGTAAGAGGCAGTAAGAAGGAAGGGGACAGCCTCTTTAGTAGGGACTGCTGTGATAGGACAAGGAGAGAGAGTTTCAGACTAAAGGAGGGGAGATTTAGACTGGATATAAGGAAGAAGTTTTTCACAATATGGGTGGTGAGACACTGGCACAGGGCACCCAGAGGAAGCAGAAGCCCCATTCTTGAAGATATTCAAGGTTAGGCTGGATTGGGCTCTGAGCATCTGACCAAGCTGCAGAAGTCCTTGCTCACTGCAGGGAATTTTGACTAGATGACCTTACGGGCCCCTTCCAATTCAAATGCCTTCCCTATAATTCTGTGATTCTATGATATACTGCTTTAAAAAAGCCTGCAGCACTTTCATAACAAAACTGAAGAAAGCCATTCATCCTAACCTTACCACAATCCGGTTAGTCTCGTAATTAATCCTTTATTTCTGAAAGAACTGCAATGACCAACAGTGAATGTCTTGATATAGAAGTGATGTTAAAAACACAGCAAATGTAAACACTACCTTAGCAATGGCATCTTGCAATCGATTGGCATCATTGCGAGTGTGCGCCAGCTCCTCCTGCAGACTGCTGGCCAGTGTCTCTGCTTTTTCTTTATCCAGCCTGACACTCTCTAGCAAATCTTGTATATCTGATTTGTCTCCAGAGTTGTGTATCGAATACAACTCAGCCACCTTCTGCTTCTCGTGCTCTAACTGAGCTTTCAGCCTGTTCATCTCTATCTGGTCGCTTGCTACCGTGGCTTTGTACTCCTCTAAGGTCGATGCTATTGCCGTTTTGCTTTTCTGTTCTGACTCAATGATCCGTTCCATGTGGTGATTGCGTTCTTTCAATGCCCCTATCATTTCTTGGGCCTCCTTATTGTCTTGTTCTGCCATCTTCAAAGTGTTGCTCAAGTGCTGCTGAACACCTAACAGCTGCTCCCGCTCAAACCGGGCGTTCTCTGCAAGGTCCATGTAACGCTGCTCCAACTCCATGTAGCGACCACTTTTCATATCTTCATCAATTACATAGGAAATATGGTGTTCATCTAAAAGAGACCGAAAATACTCTATCTGACGGCTGAAATGTTCCAACTTATCACTTTGCTGGCACAAAGATTCCATCAGGATTACTTTTTCCTCTCCAAGTCTTTCGTTCTCGCTGTTTAGCTCCTGCGTTATTTGCTGCAGATCTGCAAGCTCTTGAAGCGTGGCCTGGAGCTCTTCTGCTGTGCTGTGCTGGTTCTCTTCCATCTGATGTATCCGTTCTGTCAGACAAGCTACGGACACTTCGCTCGCGTTGCCACTGCTTCCTTTTCTAGATCTTTCTATACTTGGTACGCCTTCAGACTCTGAAGATGACGGAGCATCTAAAGCATCATCACTCGATGTCAGTGGCTGATAAACTTCACTGCACTCGCTATCTAAATTATCCATGGAGTTACTATGCTGGTTGTCCATCAAAGTGTGTTCATCCTGACTTAGCAAATCTTCCATCGATCCAGGAGCAGAACCTTCCACAGAAGATGTCAGAGTACCACCGCCATCACTGTGGTTGCCAGCTGTAATCTCCGGACTCAAAGACTGATAGCCAAAGAGTTTCTCAGAGTTGTCCAGCCTTTGTTCCAAAGAGAAGCCTAATGCATTTAGTCTGTCTTTTAACATTCGGTTCTCATTCTTCAGCTGGTTGAGCTCTTCTCGGATGGCAGTGTTTTGTTCCTGTAACTGTAGCAATGTAGACTCTACATCAGTTGGCTGATGGACAACAATGGCTTCTTTTTCTTCAGATTTTTCATCACCTTCAACTTGGTCTTCATTAAGTCCCAACTGAGCACGCATGTCCCTTAGTTCATTTCTCAGATGCAAGATTTCCACATCTTTAGTTTTTGCTAATGTCAGAAGATCATTCACCTTTGCTTCCAATGCAGCTTTGTCACTGATCTGATTGTCTGATTTGGACTTGCTCATCCGAATATCCGATTCTGGATTGGTGCGACTGCGGGAACGTTTTGCCAGTACTGTGTCATTGCTGCCCTGTCCAGCCAGAGGCAGCTTTTTACTCTGGCTTAAGCGGGAACGATCACGTATTCTCTCCCTAGAAGAGCTTGATTCTTTAGTTCCAGATGAAGTGCTACGCTTAGCTGTGGAACCTGGATGGTTTTTGAAAGTTAGAAATACTCATTTAAAATACAGCATTTGTAACGTAAGACTGTGTATTTTTTAGCCGTACAATGGCTGATTTTCTAAACTATGCTGGCAAACACATCCCATAAAATAAATTTACAGTTAATATTTAAATAAACCTACTTATGAGGTAGAGCAGTTGTGTTTTATTTGACGCATGCTTTTCAACTGCTATACTGCTGCAGTATTTTGAACCTCAAACCTTAGTTTAACCGTAACATTTGCACATTTCTTTTTTTCTGTATTTAAAAGCTTCTGGCAAACTGTACAAATACGAAAGCAGTGCTTTCCTGCAAGTTCAAATTTAACTCTTTTCAGTAGATTTGAATGGAAGCATTTAAGTGATGAATTGTGTATTACGATTAATAAAATATTAGGATACTTTCTACTCTATTTTCATCACATTTCATACAGGCATAGATGAATTATTGCTATTTTATTCCTAGATGATTTACAGCTTTGCAAGCATTACCGAATCCAAAACACAGTGAAGAAGGCAAGATGTATTTCCATCTGTATTGGGAGCACATTAAATAATTCTGAACTTTTCTGAACAGTTTATGAAAGCTCTCTTACTTCTTTACTAAAAAAAAAAAGCACATTGACTGTAACAAGCAATCACATCTTAAAGTTTTAACGTTTGCAGCTTGAATCTTCTAAATACAAATTAAACCATAACTCTCCAGATTAACTACATGATCTAGTATTATATAGTACTTATATAAGCAGTACTATTAGAAGAAGCAGCCTCCAAAAAGGCAATTGCACTATTACAAAACATGTAAAGAGGATCAAGGCCAAAGCACAGAAGATATTTTATTTGACCACGGTCTTACCAGCCACTTCCTAAGGCAGTCTGCATCTACACTACATGGTAGAAAAATAAAATTCTACCCAATTATTGTCTTCAAGAACCAGTATATCCATCTACCTGCAACAGTTTTAGGTTTATTTTCCAGAGTGTTCATGGTTGCCCCTGTAGCTGAAGACACTGTTGATGCACACGTGCTCTTCTTTGCCTTGACACCGTTGGTCATTGTCACTCCACCACCACTGGCCATCCCTGCTAAGAGGTCATCATTGCTCTTAGTCTGAAAGAAAGGTAAGATGCAGCTTAGAGACAGCTGGCTGACAAGTTTGCATAGCCAACATTTCTACTGTGAAGGATTCCATCAGTTTAACAAGTACACATTTGACCAGTCCTGTGTCTGTACAAGTATGCTGAAGTGTAACTGCACCATGCAAAGCAGGTGACTTGAAACTGAACTTCAACTACTTACACAACTGACCATAGAAACCAAGTCTCCTTTCTCCCAAGAGAGAGGAATTAATCAACATTTTGATACTTACATGAGGAAAAAAAAAAAAAAGAAGAAATCACAGGGAAGTGTAAAAAGAAGAAATTACAATGAAGTGTAATTTTTCTCAATTTTGACAGAAAGATTCCCCAAGTATAAAAATAAACCAACAAATACTAGGAAGTTTGCTTGATGCCTTCAAGAGAACATGATCAAGCATTTTCTGTTCTCAACAAAAATGAAAGCTAACAACAATAAAAATCAATCCAAGATAAATAAAATACCATTTCTAGCTCAAAATGCTAAGCCACAAACCACTAGAGACAGTATCAAGGGGGGGAAAAAAGCCACTCTCAGCACATATCCCTGCCTTGTTTTCATGCTCCTTCCTAGGCACTCTCAGAGACAGGACATTTGTTTCATGCACTTTTTGTCTGACCTCTTAACATCATTCCTGAAGCGACTGTTAGACACAACAGCTGCCTGGAATGTGACAAAAGCAAGCACAAGGATCTCAAGAGCCAGATTCCCAAATAGAGAATCCATCTTCCAGAGTAAAGCAACATCTAAAAGTACCAAGTACCCAAGTACGAATTGGCAGACAGCACCACTCTTTAAAATGCAATTTGTCAAATGGAGAAACAATCATAATAGGCTAAACATTCTTCCTATTATAAGGAGAAAAAAAAAAAAAAAATTAAAAGGTTAACAGCATTCCCTGAGTAATTGTATTATTCAATTACATAACACAGTTGAAGTCTGAACCAGCATTCCTGCTAAAAGGTCCCAGCCAAGAGTTCTGCATCACAACTTAAAATTCTGCAGATTTGTAACCTCTGTATCACATACATCTCCATGTTAAATAGTGTTAGCCAGACACAATGATTTTATACACTGAGAATGAATTTACATATGCTTAGTTAAAACCAGGTTCCACCTCACTCTATTACAGAGTTTCTTTTTGCAGCTGAGAATTTGACAACAGCTAGCAACATTGATAACAGTGATTCTGCCGAGCCTGACATCAGTCAGACAGACTATTAGCTCTTGGCATTTGTACCTTGCTAAGAGAGCAGAGAAATTAGATTAAGCTTTTAAACACTTGTAGCACATGTTATCAAGCCAAATAGGTCAAGACGTGACTCAGCTTGAAGAAGGAGAGCTACGTTAAATGCAGGCTTTCTGACATTAGTCATCTCCAGCCCTTTGCTGAACAAAGGAATTTCAGCCAGCCCTTCTCCCTCTGACTTACCATGCACTATTTCCAGGGTAGGTTGGAAGGCACTGCCTCCTCTGCAGCCAATTAGTAAACAGTTTAGAGAAACTGTAACACTACACTATTGGCAGGAAAAACTATTTAGCAAAGCTTTGGAAAAATTACAAACCAGCAGCTCCCTTTTAAATGCTCCCTAATAGCAACCACTCTTGACTTGAAAAATCGAAGTATTTTTACAGTAAGTAAAAAGTAAGAACTGAAATTAATGTCATATGTTTATTAAACAGTTTTCTCAAGGAAAAAGTTCCTCCCATTTGCTGGAAATGTTGCATCCCTGCTTAGCAAAAAAAACCCCTTCTTTAAAAACTGAAAGATTAGAAAATCAAATAATTAGAAGTGCCAATGCAGTACAATTCACATTCCATTTTCCCCCACAACTTTATTTCTTTCAGTGCAATGAAACCTGAACGACTGCCTCTATAATTCATTTCACATTAGTTTCCCAATATGCATATCCTATTCACTGCACCTCATTCAAGTCCTTTTTTAATCTATCTACATAATTATTCCTACGTGGGATTTTCTTTGATGCTCACTGTTGCTGCACTGAAGTACTTCAAATACTAAACTTCACAACAATCTGTAATTAAGTTATTGCATTTTGCAAACAGATTGCTGAAGCTCAAACACAGGAATCCTTTAGATACTTTCTAAGTTTTGATATTCAAATGTTAGGGCCCACTCTGACTTTTCAGGGACACTGGATTTTTGCAATTCATTTGCACTAAGTGCAGCTGCTGTCTAATTACAGCTGTGATTGTTAACACGACTGAAAGCTCATTGGCTGAAGAAGTAAAAAAAATGCTTATCTTAAAAAAAGGAACACAATGCTGTTTGCACAAAATATTTTTTGACAGATTAGAAAGTAGAGGTGGGTGGCTGTTAGCTGTCTGTTGTAATAATGTGTGTTTGCAGGTGGGAAAGTGGTGGATGTTTATCAAAGTCCTGGGTGCAGTGGGAACCAAAATCTTATGAGAAAGGTCACCTGAAAGAGTTTCTGAAAGAGTTGATCAATGTCACACAGGCACCCTGCAGCAGACAGACTGACCTCTGGCACAGCATTCAGCTGCACTGAAGGGTGGGTCTGCCATTTTCTTCCTGCACTCATTGTCTAAACACTTTGAACAAGACAAAACTATGGAACAATGCGTGGTTAAAGACCCCCCCCACCTCTCACCCAAAGCAAAGCACCACCCTACAGCTGTGTCATGAAGGAGATGGAAAAAAAATGTACTAGAATTAGAAAGCCATTTTCAACTGCACTACTGGTTAAGTAATGTGCCCGTGCATTTCTGTTCCTTAATATCTGCCCTTTGTTCAACAACCAACCCAAAGGTTTTCGTATCTATATGCACACTTATTTTGAGGACTGCATAAGTCACTAAGCTGCTGCAATCAAATCTCATGCCAGTCATGCTTTGTTTTGTTTTCAAGGAATATTAGATGAAGCTTACGAAATGCACACAAATTTACCACGTCTAAGAGAAGATCCTACAAACTACTTTAAGGAAAGCAATATGGCGAAAGCTTAATTGATAAGATCAAATATAGGACCACACAAAATAAACTGTTGATAAACTTTCAAGTTAGAAATTATACAGGTGATTTGACAGCAACCATAAAGTCCAAAAAGACAAGCAACTAACTTTTTGTTTGAGTATGGAACACCCAGAGAAAATTAAATAAGAAAAAGTCATTAAGTCACGCAGCTGGCAAAGCAGCAGCTTGACAAGGAGGAGACACCCAACTGCATGAGTAAGCCTGGCTGTAACATAAAGCTGAGATAAATCACAGTAATTATAGCAAAATTTTTCATTGTACCTCAAACAGACGATTGTCAAATTCTAATCCAACACCCAAACATAGCCAGAAGTGTTACTAAAGTAAGAAGTAAAATTATGAAAGCAGACTGGGTCAGATTTCTTCAGTGTTAGATCATCTTCCTCCTTTACCTCACTGAGAGGTATTGCCTCAGAAACTTGATCAGTAAACTACAAAGGGGTTTTGTTTCTGTATTCTTTGAGAGGTTTCTAGAAATGCAAAATGAGAAGTGTCAACAATCATCAAAAGATTATTTCAAGTTAAAAAAAAATGGAGTGGTGGGAGTAGAAGGGGCACACGGGGAGAAAAATCTGTGAAAGCCAGCTTGGCAGTTCATTGCAGAAGTAGTAGTAACTGTTATTCCATAACAGAGAAAAAAGAGTGAAAGACAGACTTTGGCAAATCTGCGAAGTTATTACAGAGCTGCTTCAACTACTACAATTTCTTAATTCTACATCTTGCCAGCTACATATATAGCCTATCTGGCTGCCTGTAGGCAGCACAGATTCAGGTCCCCGCTGCACACAGCAGTCCTTATTCTCAGCAAGCTCCTCTGCTCCAGGGCAGCTGCAGAAATGCTACAGCTCTGCACACTGGGCTGCAGACAGGCAGCAGGAGGGGAGCCCAGCCACATCTTCACCAGGACAGGGAGGCAGAGCAGGCAGGCTCAGAACACCAGTCCAGCCTTGCCTTGCTCTCAGGTCAAAAATTCTGCAACAATACAACTTGCTAAGTCCTATTTCTTGGTTGTTGAAAAGCGTATGATCCTAAATCTGGTAACGTACGAGAGAACCTCTACCTTTGAACTTGTTTTAAGAGCAAGAATCAACTTGTGCACGTTCAGCTCAAGCAATAGTTCACACAAAGGGAAGGTCAAAACAGTCAGAAGAACGCAGCTGCGCTGACCTGACATGGATCACCAATGTCAAAAAGTTTCTCATGTCAGGTACCTCATTAGTTCTTGTTTCAGAATGGTGCATAGCTCTCTTCAAATCCCATCAGTCACCGCCACACCATTCAAGCATAACACATGACGCAACTAATAACACTCATTCAAATGCAACTTCCACTTCACTCCTTTGCAGAACAACCAAGTTCTGCAAAGTATACTGCCTTCCATCCCACCACAAACTGCAGTGTGAAAATACAGCACGAACACCACACAAGACCCTTCACTCTGCCCAGTACCATATAATCACCTCAATTCCCTTCAGTTCCCCGTGTAACAAACATCTAGTTGCACTGAAAACATGTTGTAAAATACTTCACTTCTAAAGCTTTCTTGTCAAAAATTGAAATAGTCAGAAAGTTGTAGTAGCTGTTACCTTCAAAAGGGATGCTGACGTCCCGGGTTTGGAGAGTTTTGTTACTGCAGACAGTGAGGAGCCGCTCTCCGGTTTGGTTTTTTCAGTTGTTTGAGTCTTATTTACTCCAGGCACTTTGGGCACTGAGCCAACACTCCTGCTTGCTTTCTTCATTCTGGGCTGTCTGTTTATGATGCATTTACAAACAAATCTGCAAACAGAAAGAAGTCTTCAGCACGAAATACAAACGAAATGCAGCGTATTTTTGTAACACTCTATTTAAGAGCGGAAGTCCAGAATAGCACTAAGAACCACAAACCAGAGCCAAACAGCATATATATGGAACTGACCTACAGGTTTCATGCTTTTATAAAAAGGATTTTATTTTTTTACCATGAGTTCCTAAAGCTGTACTCCAAGTTTTATTTTTTCCAGTTCCCTTTCCAAAAAGGGCACTGAACCAAAGATACTTTAGAAGTGACCCACGTTACTGAGTTTGCTCGTTAGCTAGCAAAAGAAAGGCTTATTAGGGCTGCAGTGTTCTTTAGTTCTGACTGTGGGAAAGAAAATACCGTGGGAGCATGAAGGCAACAGGCTGACTCCCAACAACAGCGGATCTGAGAAAAGATTAGCTTGGTAACTGAAGTAGTGAAGAGTATCAGCAGTTGCAGAGAAAACAGGCTTATATAACAAGACAGAGATCCTTGAAACCAGTTATTATTAAAAGTCATGTTAATAAAGATGTGGGATTTCAAGTATCTTGAATTTAAGGTTTCATACTGCCACATGATTATGATGACTGTCTCCAAGAAGTAACCCAGCACGCCCTGCCATGGGACGCCTGAGCACCTCCTCACCTTCCAGCTCCTTCCAACAACAGACTGCTGTCAGACCTGTGGCCCAGCCATGGAAAACCAAGCTGACTTTGCACAAACATGGAGCAGCTGCAGCAGACAGCCGCACTGCCAATTCCAGCAGACAGCCACAGGAGAGGCAGAAGAGCTGACAGCTTGGTGCAGGGACACAAGAAGGTGCGGACTCGTCGTGCTCATCCCCCCTCTTGCTGAAGCAGGACAGCTGGCAGCTGCCTTCCTCATCCTGCTTGAGCCAGCAAACAGAGAATGGAGCAGGAGGAGAGAACACCCCCACTCCCCTTTCAATCACCCAGGCTGGATGGAGTGAGTGCTCTGCTCTACCTGAGCCCAATATCCCACAGCTGGTTAGAAACACAAAGCCCATCGAGTTCTCCCCATCTCTTCCAAAGCAAAAAACTTCGGAGGCACAAAAACCAGGTGGGCAACCGAGTGCATGAGAAGTGCCACACACACACACAGCAATCAGAAGCAGTGTGTAACACTACCAAAGTGACACTGAACACTGAGCATGCCCTCCTCCAGTTCAGCACCACTTCTGCACACGAGCAGATTCCAACTCTGACCTCCCTCAAAGTCAGTAAAACTCCCAAAGCTTTACATCTTTAGATCCCTCAGCGCCATTAACACAAAGTCTCATTTTAAGACACTGAAAATATTTGTTTATAGCTTCCAGACTCTTGAACTCTGGCATGAACAGACACAGAAAACTTTGTCCGCTGCTGCAGTTTCCCCCATCAGAATGTCAGCAATGCAGCAGTGCTGCCATGCAGCTACTAGGAACCAGAACACCCGCGCAGAGCAATACATCACCGAGGGATCATCTGGAATGGGACATTCCTCAGAAAAACACAACAAAGCCCAAACCAGAAAAGCACCAGCCAGAGGAGCCTCGTGAAGGTGAAGTGCTTGCTATACACCAACACCTCCCCAGAAGGTGATGTTTATAGGCAGGACCACGCTGCCATGCTCACACTTCTTGCCTTTTCCATGTTTGTGAGTCAAACGCTTCCATGTGCTTTTGATCTTATTCCACAGAAAATCAGAACTGAAAAAAAACAAAGAGGACAGAGAGCGCAAAGAGAAAATGGTGCAAAACTGCCTCCATTACAAATGATATTTGTAATGTCCTACTTATTACATAAAAAGTTACCCATAGCACACTGGAGAAACAATAAAACATCTATTCTTGCAACGTTTGCTTCAACAGCAATGATTTCAGTAAGTGAAAATAAAGTAAGCTGTGTGAGTTTAACGTGCAACACGATGCAATTCAGGTAAGAGCTAAAATAACATTTCATCATGGTTTTAAAGAGTCCATACAGGACTGCAGTTCATAACTTACCCCAAGGAGAAAGAAGTTAGCAAAGCCCTCCCTCCCCTGACACACTCCCTCCAACCTCAGCAAACCCAAAGCAAAGAGGAGCTCAGCACTAACAGCAGAACACAGCCTGCATCCCCACCCAAGCTGCTCCTGGGAGTGCCCCCAGCACACAGCCAACACAACACCGACCCACCAGCAGGGCACGAGGCATTACTGCAGCCATTTGATTAACACCAGCATTACAGTATCAATTATAGCATTAATCAGGATGGAAAAATGCCCAAATGAGCCCCAGCTATCAGATAGAAAGACCACATTCCTGACATGCAATGCAAGTGCTGCCTCCAACCTGTATCCCCTCCCAGAGCTCTCTCTCTCAGCAGCACACATGGCACAGGATACAAAGGCAGATCCAGCCGGGATGCAGCTCTGGCAGTGTGTGGCACCAACCCGGTGCTTTGTGCAGTGCAAACACGGCACCATAAATAATAATTTGAGAGCTCTCTGCCCAATAGCACGGCGCTGCTCCTCGCTGCAGGCTGGGCTGATGCACCCAGCCTGGTGCTGTGCAGCACTCACAGGGCTGCCTCTGTGTGCACCCACAGCTTTTAGAGACCTGAAGCAGGGACGATTTCTTACCTTTCTTCATATGCTTCTTTATGCAAATCTTGCTGTCACAGAGGTAAGGCTTAATTAGAACAGAAAGCAGTTTCCTGGGCCTGTAAGGCAAGAGGGCATCCAGCAGCACACAAGGCACCAGCTGTCTGCTGCTTGCTGAAGATACCTCATCGAGGAGTTTCACCTTTTCATCATTTTCCAACAAGATACAGTAAATAGTATCAGAATGCCTCTCAAGAGTTACTTAAAAGTAAAGAGAAGTGATCCCTCACATCTGAGGACACTGAGCCTTTTTGGAAGCACTGATGAACAAAGCAGGCGCCCAAAATGCAGAAGGAAATGGCTATCTTCAAACCGAGCCCTGCACTCGGTACGCTCACTCTCTGTATACAAATTCCTTGGATTTGATGTACACAGGCTGATGACTTCTGCCCAAACAAGCAGGAACGACATTTTTAGGCCACAAAGAGAGTCCCAAAAGGCGGAAAAGTAAAGATTATGCAATACAACCCCTCCAGCCTCCTGTAAAAGACGCATCAGAATGTCTTCAAGTCTCTGCAGGCAAGAGAGCATAACTACCACCAACTCCACGTCTGGAACATGAAATAAGCTACCAGGACAGAGACTGCTGCTTCCATAGCATGCAACTGCTCACAGCCCCGGCCCACAAAGCTGCACAGCACAGCAGTCAGATGGAAGCATGTTCTGAACAGATCAACACTGCTCAGCGTGACTTCAGTGCTTTGATTCACAGCATTGGGGAGAAGTCAAAAAAGTAAAAGCAATTCCAGGAATTACTGAGAAAGTAACACAAAACCATAAAGCAAACGCAGAGCTCAGCAAATCCATCTCTCCTACTCACCCACACATCAGCTGGTATGCGCTGCTCCCCAGCCCCAACCTAAGGGCTGCATTCGGACCCAAAGGAGCCTCAGCAAGGGGCAAACATGAAATCTAAGGTACTTCACAGCTTCCACAGGACATCTGGGGAAGGTGATGAACGGCCCATGGGACCCCAAATAGCACAGAGTGGGCAGAGCGGGGCTGCCTGCAAACCACCACTGCTGCACTGAAAGGCCAACAGCCAAAGTTCCAGTGAGATAAATGAGCAGTGCTGTTAAGGCAGCATTAATATTGCTATTTTTCTTTTGAAACCAAAGGGAGGAAAGAAGAAAGCTTTGGGTGAGAAGCAGCCGTTGTGCACCTCCATTCCTCTCCTCCTTGTTTGGAGAAAACTGCAGAGCTGTAAGTGCTGTGAGCAACGTGCGACCGTTGCAATGCTTCACATTCCAGACAAGTGACAGGAGCAGCTACAGAGCTCCTAACTAACAGGCCGTGCTCTAAAAAAGCCTTTTCATAACAAAATTAAATAACGCCTTGTTTCCAAGCTCCTACCTTAAACAGACGTTATTTCAAACCACTGCTGAGGACAGAAGAAACCAAGCATCCATCAGACGAGCTCCGCTTCCCCTCCCAGCACAGACTGTGAGCAGCACCTGGGGAAGCTCTTCTGGCAGCTCTGCCAAGCAGAACAACAGCCCCAGGGACGGTGACCCCAGCAGCCCCATGGCAGCTGTGCCAGTGCATCACTGCTCCCTCAGAGAAGAAATTGTTCCCAGTACCCGACCTGAACTTGTCCTGGTGCACCATGAGGCCATCACCTCTCATCCTATTGCTGTTCCCCAGGAGCAGAGGCTGACCCCCACCTCACCACCACCTCCTTTTGGGCTGTTGTAGAGAGGTGATACGGACACCCTTCAGCCTCCTCTCCTCCATTCTGCACCTCTTAATAAAATTTACACTTGCATCCAAACTTTAAACTACACACACACAGATCATACAGTACAGACCTATTTCCTGGACTGTCATTACAACTCTGTGTCAGACTTAAAAGGTTTAAGCAGACTTGGCAGAAGTATCCATCTTCTCTACAAAGCTCTCAGGTTAGTGCTGCATTAGAACAGAAGCACTGTTTTGGCACTGCAGGCTTTCTGGGTTAAAAATAAAAGCAAAATTATTACACCACACATTTCCCGGCCAGAGGACTGGCTGCCTTAAACTGCAATCAGCAAGTGATAGGTGGTAGGTAACCCTGTGATCCCATCGTCACCCACCAGCTATCTCAGGGAGCTCTGTAGTAACTGTTATTGCACAAGCCAATCACCCTCCAGCTACAAAGGTGTATTTAGAATCACGTAACCTTAAGCACATATTCTATTATTTAATCCACACTTAGGTTGCCTCGTGGAGATTCTCCTTCTGCAGCCAGGGAAGCACTTGCACAAAGAGCAACACGCTATCTGAAGAGCAGGGAACTTGGCAGGACAGCTTCCTTCCCCTTCAGCTCAGCAGTAACACCTCATGGCACTCCTATACCCAGGACAGGCTGCAGCACTGAGCAGCAGTGGCCTTTTCCCTGTCTCCACTCACCTTTGCCAGCTGAACTCCGCTACCAGCAGCTGCACTAAGCCTTTAGCAGCATGAGGCCAACAGGGAGAGGAATGAGGTCGGTATGCTGGCTCCCATTAGAAGAAGGGGGACAGAAAATGCTAATAGACGAGCACTGCGCTGCCTGAGGAGCCAGAGCAGTGCTTTCCAGCACAAATACGTACAGGCCAAACCTGTAAGTGAATAAATTCGCCCGAATCAAACATTCATCCAAAATACTCTATCAGATTATCAATTTGTACAAAATCCCCAAGGCCTGCTTCCTGTTTGCAGCTTGGTTCTGACTATCAATCTGTTCTTATCAGATGCTGATTCATGCATCCTCAACTTGAGGACTAATGCTGCCTGCATTTCTGCTGCTGAGAGATAGCTGGGTGCTCACCATGCCCATTCCATCGCTGACCTGGCCCGGCAGCATTCCTGAAGGGCTGCACCACCACCTGAAGCCATCCCAGCCCCAGGGCTCACACCTGGATTTCCAGCATGGGATGTCCAGGTTCTGGTCACAGCTGGGCCGAGCGAATGGCACGAGTGGGAACAGCCCATCTGTAAACCAGTCCTGCTGGGGCTGGGGGAGGGAAATGCCTTCTGGGGATTGCTTAAGCCAGTTGTGAAAATCATTTAATTGTACCCTGCCACAAAAAGAGACAGTCCCACCCCTTCCTCTGTCCTCTCCCTTGTTTCAGTTCTAGAGATCATAGTTCGTTTTCTGATGAGTTAGTTTTTTTCATCAGATCAGGGCTGATCTGACTCACTTTATAATTACCAGGCATTACGCAGAGCAGCAGGCCATGGAACTGGGAATGAGAGGAAGGCTCCCCCCGTGGGGCACTGCTCCACACCAGCCTGAGCTCAGAGCGAGACCACACAGCAGAGCTGCCACCCTGCTGGGAGCAGCTCCATACTGCTGCCTCACTAGCACCACTCCGCAGGACCGCATCAGCTGGATGAGGAAACTCATGAGCTCTGTAAGCAATCCGAAGACAGAACACACAGAGGCTGCTAGCAGGGCTGAAGGTCAGCTCTGTATGGGTATGAGCCCTGCGCTCTGACCCATCTTCTCCTTGTCTCTGAACCTGACAACTGCACACTCATGACTTGGTTTTAAAACCTTCAGGCTTGGCAGACACAGATGAGACAGAACTGCATGCATATCCTTCCTAAACACCATGCTAGCACCAGGGACGTTTACCTGCCTGAGTGCGAGCCTGCAGATATGCATCTGAGTCACACAGAATTGCTGGGGTACTATGGAGCCTCTCATGGCTAACTGGAGAGAGCCAAGCTGTAACAGAGCGCTCCTCCAGCTTTGTCCTTGTCAGCCCCAGGGCTGCAGCACCTCACAGGGAATGCGCTGCTGCAGGAGAACCCAGCACACAGCTCTCACACTGCAAATCATTCCACAGCTGAATGTTCAGGAAGGCTCCATCTGCCAGAACTACTGCGAGTGCTTTTAATTAAGAACACACACACAGAAATGGGTTACGAAGAACACAAAGTTTGAGGGAGAGCTGTAAGGAAGGCAGATTTCTGTTCAAGCTGTCCACATCCCAAATACACATCCCATCAGGCCAAGCACTGCATGTGCAAAGAAGCACCTCAAGTGGGCTAAATGGCCAAAATGAAGATAAATCACAGCATTACTTTCAGGCTGATGTCATCAGATACATCACCCGAGTACTTCAGTACTACCTTTATTCACCCTTTTTTTTTTTTTTTTTCTTTTCTCCTTTAAGAGGTCTCTTTTCACCTACCTTCACTATTTACTTGTGAATTCCTCTTTTTTGTCACCCCCAGTTCTGCCATGTGTTTGTCTGTTCTTTGCAAAATTATCAGGAGCCATTTACTTACAATAATGAAGATCAAAAGTCGCAGCGCCCTTACAAAAGCTTTCATTCTCGAAGAAAACCATGCATGTGCACGAGTATGTGAACAATGAATTATTTATCTGAGGAGAGACAGGATCCTATGATCACTCTCTGGCTGCACTAAGCTGCTAAGTGTTCCAGAGGGTGGCTTGCTCTGATCATTTCAGCTGGAGTAAGCTCAAAAGAAACAAGAAATACGCTCCCTGCGAGTCGTCACTTCAGGCCACATCCAAGCGTATAACTCAGCCTCTAAGGCCTGCTTATTTTCCCTTTTTCAGTAAGAGGACTAAAAATAAGATCAAATGGGGTGATTTCTGAAGTCAGGAAGTACAAGCATAACATTTCTGATGCTGCTTTTCCCACTGTGCCACAGAGATTCGGTCACGCTAACAGCATTACAAGTTCCTAGAACTGGATCCTGGTTGGCAAGACAGGCTCTAACATTACAAGATCAAGGAGAAAGAACAAAAAAAGGAACTTCTGAAGTATGTCTGTGAAAGATCCCTTTAGAAATTCCCAACACTTGCTCCGTCTCTCAAGAACATATTTTCTTCTTTCGTACTGGAACAAAAAAGGCATAAACTCACATCCCTACACCGTGCTACCTGGAAGCATGCATTTATTCACACCTCATTTATGCTACCTCATCTATAGCTCAGTGCAATGAAAGTTGTAACAGCTCAGAGATCATTGTCCACTGCGGACAGAACTGCTGGTGCCAGTGCTGCACTGAGGATGTGCAGCAGGCAGCCAGACCCAGCCTAACACCCCAGGTTTCTTGGAGGGACTCCTAGGGACAGGCCCAGCATGCCTGACTGCCACTCTAGGGACTCTAGAGGGAAAGGTGAAACTTCACCCAGCTGCAAAACACCAGAAGTAAAGCCCAGGAGATCTGGAGGTGCTGCTGTGACGTTCTGCCACCGTCACACTGTCATAAAGCAGTGCTTCATAGAGCTAAAGTCAATAAAACCACAGATTACTATCAACGTTCATGACAAAAGTCCCATCAACGAGCAGCTCAGAGCAGACAAAAGGACTGGGAAATGTGGGCTGCAGGGTTTAATTACACAGCACTGGAAATAGGAGAATGAATTAAAAACATCTCAGATGCTTTGTTCTCCACAGCCATGTCCTGTATTCAGTAAAGAAATCAGACACGGGGTTTCAGCAACAAGAAAACATCTGAAAAAAAACACAGTTTTCTTCTTTCCTTACTCCTCACAGCCCACCAGCCTAGGAGCTGGTTTTTCCATCAGCTGAAAATCTAGCGATACCATCACACAACGTACCCCCATCTCACTTTTTCAGATCATTACGCTAAGAAAGAGCACTAGGACTATCTGATCCCAGCCCTGGGACCACTCAGACCACATCACTCAGTGCAACACCTGCCCTGTTCCCCAGCACCTGTGGGCTCAGTGACCCCAGCACCCCATGGGCAGGCAGTGCCAGAGCCTGACTTTTCTTTTGGAGAAGAAAACCGTTCTCTGCGTTTTCGTCAGCTACCAGCGGGCTGGAGGAGGCATGACGTACTGCTGAGCTCCTGCAGGGCTCACAGAGCGTTCCTGCCTCAGTTCCACCTCAGGCAGCCGAAGTCCAGGCCGAGAAGGGCTGTGCAGGAAGCACAGGGCTGTGTTTGCCTTTAGGGCGAGCAGAGCTCTCTCTGGCCGCGTCCTCAGCCGGACCACAGGGCACTTTTTCACGCAGAGGAACAACAACTCGTAACACATCTGCCGCTCCAGAAGCGCCGTCTGCGGCTCCTGGCACGGAGCGGAGCGTCGCTGCTGCGCTGCCGCCCTCAGAGCCGCTGTGCGCTGTCACTGCGGCGCAGTCCGGGATCCCTTTCCCCAGCCCGGGTGACGCCGGGCGGCAGCAGCAGCAGCAGCAAAGCCCGCCGCGCACCGGCAGCGCTCCGCACACGGGAAGAGAACGTCGGAACGCAGCGCTCACCCCCGCCCCACAGTCCGGCTCCGGTCCCTCAGCGCGGCCGCGCGCCGCCCCGCCGTTCCTTCAGGCCGCCCGCGGGCACGGAACGCGCGGAACGGCCGCCGGACGGCGAGGCCCCTCAGGGCGAGGCGAGGGGAGGAGCCCGGGGCACGGCCTGCGGGGCCTTCGCGGCCCTGAGAGGGGACCCTCGGGGGTCGGGCCGGCGCTCGGCGCTTACCGGGCAGCCGCCTCCTCCTCCTCCTCCTCCTCCTCCTTCCCGCGTCTTCGCGGCGCGGCCCGACGTGAGGGGACGGGGCCGGGCCGGGCCGGGCCGCGCGCGCCGCCGGCGGGAGGCGGAGGGGGCGCGGAGGGGCGCGCGCGGACGGCAGGGAGCGCCCCCCCCCACCTCGCCCCGTCCCGCCCCTCGCGGGCGGCGCCGCCGCACTGCGCACGCGCCAGCCGTCCCCCTCCGGAGCCAAACCGGGGCCGAGGGGGCGCGTGCGCCGTGGCGCCGCGCGCGCTCCTATTGGCGGGCCGGGCCGGGCTCGCGCCGCGCAGCACCTGAGGGAGCGGCCGTAACGGCTGCGGCTCCTCAAGCGAGCGGCTGTTCGCCGCCTGGTGCTACGGCACGGCTCGGTTAGCTTTGCAGGGAAACGTTTCTTACGTATTTATGGGATCAGGTTGGGATGAAGGCGCCATTCCTCATCTTTCCGTGCTGGCAGGGGTTCCCCTGGAAAATGGAGGCAGCGCGCAGCCGGGTCTTTGTGAAGGGGAGAGCGGCTGGAGCGGGGCGTGAGGGGAGCGCTGAGCGCCGAGCGGTGCGGGCTGGGCAGGGCTGTGGTAGGGAGGCAGCCCTGAGGATCCACCGCAGGGCGCGTCTGCTCGTCAGCGAGAGCCGTTTTATAGAAGGGCTCCTCGTGGAAGCTCTAAGAAAGCAGATGTGAAGCTATATTATACAGATCACAGAACGGCAGGGTTGGAAGGGACCTCAAGGATCATGAATCTCCAACCCCCTGCCACACGCAGGGCCACCAACCTTCCCACCTAATGCTAGACCAGGCTGCCCAGGGCCCCATCCGACCTGGCCATGAACACTTCCAGGGACGGGGCATCCACAACCTCTCTGGGCAGCTGTTCCAGCACCTCACCACTCTCTCTGTAAAGAATTTCCCCCGATGTCCAACCTAAATGTCCCCTCCCTCAACTTAAAACCATTTTCCCTCGTCCTGCAGTTATCAACCCTTTCCAAGAGTTGATTTCCCTCCTGTTTGTAGGCTCCCTTTAGGTACTGAAAGGCTGCAATGAGGTCACCCCGCAGCCTTCTTTTCTCCAGGCTGAACAAGCCCAGCTCCCTCAGCCTGTCCTCATAGGGGAGGTGCTCCAGTCCCCTGATCATCTTTGTGGCCCTCCTCTGGACCCTCTCCAACAGCTCCCTGTCTTTCTTGTACTGGGGGCTCCACACTTGGACGCAGTACTCCAGATGGGGCCTCACAAGAGCAGAGTAGAATCCATGGGGAAGAGGTGTTGGTAATGCCCATCAAGTTCCCATGGGAGAACTTGATTTAAAGAAGTGATTCCATTTGCACCTTGATTGCTACAAAACACTAATTTAATGCAGTATTTAGAGAGGCCGAAGCTGATTTCATGGTAAATATTAGTGATGGAAAGCTGTGAGGCTGGCTGCGTTAGTAAAGTAATAATCCTGGTAAGGGATTAAAGGGACTAAATACCTGATAATGTTAATTACATACCTGCTAATGCAGCGTTTTGCCCAGCTACTTCCCTGCCTTCCACGCTGTTCCTGTATATTGCAGTTGCTTTAATTCAGCAACGGCCTTCTGCCAGCCTGTAGATTTCACTGAAGTAATACAGCTTTTACCCTGTAAAACATGAAGTAGCTCTAATTTTGAAGGAGTAGTAGTAGTAACTTCCAGACCTTTGGCAATCTCAAACACAATTCACACGCTGAGTTTAATGTAGGCCCAATTTTTAATTAAATAAGACCCAAAGAACCCTGACGAACAGATACAGGAGATTTTATTTAACACTGTGTACAAAGAAAGGCTACAAATGCCTTAGACTTTTTTCCCCCAAATACAGTTTTTGTATCCTTTTCATACCACATAATTAAAAAAAAAAAATCCTGAATGATTATTTCCCCCCTTTTTTCCATTTTTCATCACACGTGCCTAAACTGAGAGATATTTAGCAGTCGTTTCAACACCTTTGAGTATTAAGCTATTAGGGTTGGTTTTCTTTGCAAAAACAGAGCACTGAGATACCGAAGCACTGACAACAGCAGTATGAGATGTCAAAAACAGACTCTGCAACACGGTGGAGTTAAAACAACGCCAGTAGTATTAATTCTGAAGAAACCCCAAATTATCCAAACAATAACAAGTTGTTTTTCTTCTACACCTGATAAATTATCACTCATTTTAGAATTTAATTGTATTTATATGTAAATAGTCTTATTACCTCCTTTCACTGGCGTTCTTCACGGATTATAAACACGTGTAATAGAGATAAGAACAAACTACACAACCAATATAGGCAAGAGAAGGCTTTGTTTTGCTCCCATTGCTTTTTGCTAGACAGACACAGGAAGGACAACACATCTCATGTGTCCTTCCGTGAGATCATACTTAACTTCACCGTACCATTGTGGTGCTCTCTGTCATCCAGCATTAATTCTTTACCCTCTTTTTGCTGCCTTGGATAGTACCTAGTCACTTTTAGCACTGATATCCCACCTCTCTAAGAAATCTGTCCTTGTGTATCCAGGATTCCAAATTACTGAGCGACTTGCAGAAGTTTTTGTATGTTAGTATGGAGCTCAAGATAAGATTTCTCCTAGGCTGTGAGATGCAGTGAGGAAGAGATGAGAGTGGATGCATTAGGAGAGGCTGTCGTGAAGAACCTTTCTGCTATGTCAGCATTTTCATTATGTTACTGCTGTGTTCGAAGGAGTTTTAATATTTAGATCAGTTTTCAGCTATATCCATAATCCCGTAATGGTTATAGATGTCCTCTTCCAAAACATGACTAAAGTGGAAGAAATTTGAGTTTGCCTATTTATATTGGGGGTTGATAATTCAATTAGGCACTATAAAGAATGGGTCTGACCCATAATTGCTTTCTGGGCTTCGCCTGACCAGGGAAAACGTGAGCCTCTAAGGAGCAAGGCCACCTGCTCACTGGTGGACTCTTCCCATTGTGGTTCTTTGGCCATCTGTGGGAAGCAGCTATGTTCTCTTTCTAGGCAGGAAGCTGTTTTGTATACAAGCACGCTCTTCCATATATCCACAGGGATATAAATTGGTCCTGCAATAGAAATCACTCTGCAGATAAATGGTTCATCTGTAGAATGCCTTGAAATCTCAGAACATCTTGTCACTGCAATAATTACACAAACACAAGCCCTAGCAAAAAATCCAAAAAGAATTCTCCGTTCTGATGAATCATTTCAATGAGATGATTTGAGCATGACTGCAATTAAGGCAGAGCAGTAAAACAAATATTTTTTCTAGGCTTGGGCACTCTGTAATCATATTCATTCCCAAGTGTGCTTGAACAGGCGAAAAAATAGAACATCTCTTACTTGCAAAACAAGCCTGCGCAAGCCTGGAGCATTAACACTACCTGGTCCACTCTGTACCACAAAGCTGGAAATATTCTAGCCATCTCCAGGAATAGCCCTGCTATAAACTCATTTCTACAGTATAGGATGATGTGTTTTCTGATAGAAAAGGAGAGGGGGTTTCTTACTGAAAGAGGAAACGTGACAGTAGAAAGTAAAGTGACATGGCAAGTGTTTGCACAGGTCACCTGCAGTGATGTTCTCCAATTCTACTTTTGGGTGGCAGAACCAACAGTGGAGGCCCTTGAATACTTTTCTCATTCTTAGCATTAGCATGTTTGCTTGACCCAGGCCTAAATCTAGCCATCTGCACATGGCAGGAGAATCGAGATAATGCATGTGCTCCATTTGCTTTGGCCCTACTGTTTCCACCATTCAATCAGTGCAGGGTGTTGTGGTATTCTATCCTTACAGCTCAGAAGCAGCCTCTTCCAGCTTAAGCTGTGTTCTAACCTCCTGGTTCCATTTTTCTTTGCAGTAGTGTTTCACCTTTGGTTTAACAGAGACTGTGGTGCTCTGTTGCCATAGAGGAAAAAAAAATGTACAGAGCATGTGATAAGCTTTGCTTTCTTGGCACTGAACTGTGAAGTTTCAGTAGTGAGAAAGAGGGTTGCAGCACATCAGAACTGGGAGGCTGCAGCAGCTGAATTCCTGACATTCCTAAATTAATGTTTATTTACTGACAAGGCAGTCAGTTATTGAGGCCACAGGTCTTCTTCTGTAATTTGAAAGGAGAGCTTCTGCTTTGTACAGCTCCAGATCATCTCATCAGAGTGATTTCTAATTGTTTTTCTGTTTTTTTTCAATTTTATATCATCTTTCTTCCCTAAGACTTTGGTAAGAAATACTAATTAGCTGCGAGTAGCTCCTTCAATCAGCAGTCCTTTCTTGATTTTAAGGAAGATCCATGTACTTTCATCTACCCTGTGAAAACTTCCATGGAATGCATATGGGTATCCATTTAATTCTGGCTGAGAATGGAAGATTGCTAATATTAACTGAAAGGCTCCATGATCTCAGCTGCAAGAACCCTGTGTTAAAGGAAGTGGATGATATCAGACTGATTTTCAGACAGCACTACAAAGGGATGTTAGCAAAGCTTACAAAGAAAAACATACCTGGACTAAATAAAAACATAAGGAGGAACAAGTGACTGACTTGCCAACTACTCCAAATTTTGATTATTCTGAACATATTTACTTCCCTTTTCAGATTTTTCTGCAAGGAACAGAAGCAAATCCCTTAAATCTAATGTGAATGTACTGGTCTTTTATTACTGCAAGTTTCTATCTTTTTGAATTGAAGAGAGAAAGAGCAGAGGCTTTTCTTAAACATCTCCCACTTCTTCCTAACATTGCCATGGTAAGAATGCCACATCTGACAGCACTGCCCCAGCAGAACGAGCCCTGAAAACAAAGGAATCATCAACCAGTGAGGAACCAGAGAGGGTCACTTTTTTCTCCATCAGATCGTAAGTATCTCTGAAAGCCATGCTGGCCAATTTACATTTTGTACATACTTCAAGGAATGGTACATTAAGAGAAATGAACAAGTTTTTATGCCTTCCAGTGTTACAGTGGGTGACAGGCAAACTAGAGGTCCACACATGCTTTACAGAACAATACATCCATTTAAATAAACTCATATAAAACTAACTCAATGGTGAAACACAATTTTAAACAGGTAAAATGAATAAGCTGTGAAAATATTGCAGCTTCCATCAACACGCTCTGTGGTTCTACCACCTCGTGGCCGACACAACATATTGCAGTTCTGCTTCATCTGCATGCTGACTGCCTTCACATGAGCAATGGAAAGTTGGAATCAAGGTGGGCAGCTGGCATCAGCAAATACAGTCAGTGCACAGCTGTACTTTGCCCTTAGCTGATACATGGAAAAATAGCAGTGTTAGAATACAGCCTGCAATGGCTTGGCTGCCACCTCAACTAGCTTAAAATTGTGCAAGGATAAAGAACACCAGCAGCATTTCAATTGATGTGTTTCATTTTAGTTTCAACCTCCTCCCATGAAAAGCACACACAAAACAAAGCTGAGAACGATCTAGTACTATTTACTTCTTGCCCATCATTAAAACTTTTCCCTTATTTTGCTTTACTTTTTAATTTAAAAAAAAAAAAAAAACAACAAAACTAATCAGTGTAAAAAAAAAAAAGAGAATTTTAGAATAGTTTCTAAATGCCAAGAAACCTATGCTTCTTTCTCTTCTTAAACTGGAGGTACAGTCTGTCCTAATGACCTGCAATATTTCTGCTGAAGCTGTTAATGTTTCAGCTGCACGTAGCTGAAAGCTGCTTCTTTAGAAATTTCTTTCCAATGCAACAGAAACAGAAAGAACACAAACTCTCAGTGCAGTTTTAAAGGGTAATTTTTGGCTAGTTTGCTCTTATGTTGTTTATATTGTATACTGTGTAATTTCTTACAGGAAATGGAGAAGTTTTCTAACACAGCTCTTAAATCAGAAGACCTTCTGTAAAGCCACATAAAGTCCCTTTATGTTTTAAGTGTGATAAGGCTTATTAAAAACACAACAAAGTTTAAAAAAAACCCACACCCACAACATCCCTTGGAAAAGAATACAAAAGCCTTTTGGAAATGCTTCATTTCTGAACACAAACGTCTATCTGAAGAAAGACTTAAATTGCAAAATTAACAGAAATTCAAAAAAATCAATTCTCATATTTCAAATCAGTCCATGATTTCATCATTAGCAGAAACATCCGCTGTTTTTTCCAGCCCAAAATTACCAGCTTTGGGGAAAACATACTCAACAGAAATAATTAATGGGTTACGTTAAATTACCTTTTTTTTTTCCCTGATCCACATGCCTGCATGTTAGATTACATTACATTAGAACTGAGCATTGTAATTGAGAGACTAAAGCAACAACCTGTAACAGTAACCAAAGCAAAAGCCATTTCTCATCGTTACACACCATACATCAGTAACTTAATATTAATTTCCTATATAAATAAAAATAAAAAGTTGGGTAAAAGTAAATTGGCACAGTCATTATGGTATTGCTTTCCAGTTTCAACACTGCAAAGAGCAGCCACAGATTCTGAACACGGAAAGGAAAGGGCTCTGTCACCCAACCATCTCCTGTACTTTGCTTCTGCTGTTGGTTTGTGGGGCTTTTTTTCTTTCCAAAGCAGTCAGCAGCAGTGCCACTGCCTCAGATGCACCACACAACAGCTTGGAATGGGCAGGTGTGCAGCTAGCAGGAAAAGGATTGTTATGGAACTGCTAGGTGGAAATGAGAACAAATACATAAAACCAAAACCACAGTGTGGTTTACTGGTCTGCCTGACTTAAGTCAAAAGTTTTCAAGATTGTGACTAATTTTTACCTTCAAAAAAGGCAGAAATAAATATAAAAAATGCTAAGCCTTCAAGTTTTCTTGCCTTCGTTCCCTCCCTCCCCCCAAAAGCACCTCCTACTATAAACATTTTTTCTGTTTTCCAGATTCAGAAGTCGGAATGTAATGGAAATACATATAAGAGAGAGGGAATTTCTAGTTGTACATTACATTACAAAGAGGTTTGCTCCCAGACCTAAGAAGGGAGGGATACTAAGCAATATTAAATTCCTATAAGGATCCTTACAATAGCATGCAAAATGTTGATATACTCACAAAATCAGAATTTCTATTTTTTCCTTTTTGAATTTGTAACTTCACAGTACAATATTTTCTAATATTATGCAGCAGTCAAAATTACATTGACTACAAAATCATTTCCCTTCCATTATTTTTTTCTCTCCATTTGTTTGAAAGACTCCTTTGTTGGTGGTTTTTTATATATATTTTTGTTACTGAGAGACTGCAGATCACTCATCAGAAAACATAAAATTCAGCATCACGGGGGTTGCTTTCTCTGAGGCATTTCTCCTCAAATGATGTTGGCAACCCAACTACACCAATCAAGATCTGTCCTTCCCTCCCTTTCTCCATGCTGATTCCTCCCCTTGTCTTCACGCTGCACTTTTCTTCTTGCCTGGATGATGGATGGTTGCCACCAAACGGATGCTGCATAACTGGGTATGACGCAAAGGGGGCTGGAGTTGTTAATGAAAATGGAGCTATTCCCACCTCTCCCAGGATGTTTGGCACAGCTGCTTCATAGCCAGAACGCTTTGCTCTGGATGCCAGCAATTAGATTATGCTTTCAGTTCTCTAGACAAACACTGCTGTCCTTTACACCAGCGTAACCCCCATGGCTCTGACCAACTTAGGCAGGAAGATACCAGCCCAGTATTTAGTGAAACCTGCTGTACTGCTCTGTGTGGTTCCACAGAAATCCCTTCACTGCTCTTACTTAAAACAGGCTTGAAATTTCTGAAGAGTACACATGCATGCTACTGGCTAGGTTGTCCATAAAGTACATTCTGACATATTTATCAAAGCATCTATCAGAAAACAACTCTCATAGAAGCAATGCACGTACAAAGCCTCCAAAATTCAAGTATATAACTATATATTAAAAAAACAAACAAACAAAAAAAAGATGTTCTGATAGGAGTAAGCAGCCAGGCAACCTGATAACCACTAATAATTTGTTTTGTCCACGAATGCTTGAATTATTTTTGCACTGTTAGCATCTTTTCTTTGGAGTGTTGGGAATTAACAGCCTTCCCAATTAATTTTCATTAAGTTTGGCAGAGTCTAAGGAATTTAGCAATCCTCTCTGGACAATATTGCTCCTGCAATATGCAAACAACCAAAGAATCACAAAGCACTGACTCAAACCGTCCCTGCCTCTCTTTAATTTGCTGTATTTATTTGTAGTGAAAAATCATTGAGTCTGGGCCCTTCAACACCCCCATCCCCCCAAAAATCCACACCATCAGAAGTGCAACATAGGCAAGAGCACAGCATCTCCTTGTACAAACATTTGCAGGAGAAGGGGTGGGCAAGACAAATAAAAAAGTTTGAGTTGTATGCAAAACTGTTTCACTTCTTTAGAACCCTGTTCAAATCAGGACTTCAATTTCAGAGGAGGGTATCTTAGATCCCAGACCCTTCCCTTCTTTCCTCTTCTTGCAAAGCAATGCTATTTTTGTGGCCTAAAACAGTACTTTAAAAACAGCAGTTATTAAAGACACAGTTGTGATAGATCCTTTAACTCCCTCTCACCCAAAAAAGGGTATCCTATCAAGTGGTCCGTTAGAAATCTTGACGTTTCTTTATGACAAATCCACAAAATGAGGAATACCTTCCATCACATTCCCAACAAGAATAACAGCCACCCTCCGTGGTGCATTTGTTCAAGTGTCTATTGCTCCTTCTAGTGGAGATTCTGCACAGCTCTACCTCCACTTCGATTCTCATTCTCCTGATCAAAAGTAGGTATTTTTCTACCTTCTCTTCAGCTTGCCACTGGTTAACAAACAGCAGAAGCACTGAGGGCCATCATTCCCCAGAACAGGAACAGGCCAGAAATGTCTGAAGAAACACCAGTCTTCCTTTTTTCAAGAGTGGCAGATTTATGCCAAGAACAGGTTGGGTTTGTGGTGTGGTTTTTTTTGGAGTCCTGTTGGCATCACAGACATCTACACCTCTGTGGAAAAGAGAATGCTTTGCCTCTTGCTGTCTGGGGTAGGGATGGTCTCTAGCTGCAGGAAGTACAGAAGGACTTGAACCTGGAAAGAGAAAGAAATAGGTAAAAATAAAGCCTTGTTAACTCACTGTCATGCTGGCTGTTTCACAGCTGGCAGACGTGATTGCATTGCTCTGTATAGGAATTTCTTTGCACTTACTATTTTAATACAGTGCATAATATCAGGAGGAATATTAAAAATTCCAATGCTTTGGAGGCACTTCTCAGCATCAAGGATAGCAAAGTGTTGATGTTTCACTTTGTTGAAAAAATTTGATCTACGATTTGCTATCACTCAATAAAGGAAGTACAAAACAGCATGATGAGCTAACACAGCCTCTAGGTTCCTCTAGTTGTCTGCACAGCCTTAAGGAGGCTGCAAGGGCAAAAGAAATCTGAATCTAGCAAGGATTATTGAGCTCTGCGGAAAAACAGTCCTTTCATCCTAGGCTAGTAATACAGCACTCAGAAAGCCTTGAGACAGCTCTCCTTACTGTGCACAAACAAAGAATGCAGGATGTGTGCATATCGACTTTTCTCAAGCTCTATTAGTACAGATACAAACTGAACTGCCTGAAGAAACACAGTTCTGTAAACAGAGTCAAAAACGTCTGTGCTGGGGGGTGAAAGTTGTTTATGTTTCTGAAAACTGCTACGAAAACAAAGGAGGAAAGCTGAAGAAGGCCTTGCTAAATGACTACAGTTTCCCAGCTACTGCCTTTAAATGATTCAATAGTACGTTTTGGATTTTACCTGGGACATGACTTCTAGTGACCAGCTATCAGTCATTGTTATAGGCTGGGTTGGGTTGGCAGGGATTTTACTGTCCTTCTCTGAAGGTCTGAGCAGCGTTGGTCCAAAGACAGTTGCAAGATTATGCAGGGACATCTTGTTAATGCTCTCCCTCTCAGCAACCCTGTGAGAAGAAATGACAAGTTGGATCTTTGTAAATATCTGAGTTTGGAAATGTCCTTCAGTAAGAAACCATAATTACTCCTTTTATACAGAATTTAGGTATAGACATCGAAGCAAGAACTCTTTCCATACGTCCCCAAAATGACTGTATACATAAACAATACCTTGACCTGACAGCTACAATCTTAGGCACTCTACAAACCCTTGTTTGAGAAAGGGACTGCTGATCATTTGATCAGGCAGAAATGAGACAGGAATAAAGGAATGGTTTTCATCCTAGTTTCAGAAATGAGAAACTAAGGCACGTAGGTTAAAACATTTACCCAAGGGCACAAGAGTCTGTAACAAAAACAAACCTAGATTTCCTGGATTTTAATCCAGAACCTCAGTCACAAGATCATCTTTGATCTCTACACTGACAGTCTCTGGTATGTACATATGTAAATTCAAATACTGTGCATGTATTAAACAAGTTTATTGTATTACTATCAAACACATGGAAATATTTTTCCTCAGTTGTAACCATATTGCAAAGACAGACAAGATCAGAAAGACCAGTCTAAACAAGGAGCTGACAACTCCAGTTAGAAGTGCAGAACTGGAATTTTTAAAGATATGTTAGATTGCAACACCTTTTGAGACAGTACTGACAGGTCCTTAAACACAGACAGTTTCACAATTAATACTGAAACTTTTCCTGATGCAGGTGCAGTTTTGCGGAGATATTGCAGCAAGAATTTGCATTTGCACTAGATAAGTCCTGAGACTTTTGCCACCTCTTTCCTTCAGTTCTAATCCTCTCAGTTTCAGTGAGAATGCAATTTGGGATTCAGTGCTTCACTAAATGGGCATGAAGCAATAGTTATCTGATGAGCATCCACATCAAATCAGCAAATGCTTCTTCATTTGCCTGATTCAGCATGTGCTCGAGAAGAAGGCTCCTTTTTTAAAATAATGATGCTTTACACATTGAACAAGTATCTAAAGGATTCAAACATTACCTTTTTAAATGGTCCAAAAGGAAAAGGAATGTGACAAGGTTGGGTTCTGGAAGTGATAACAATAGATTCAACATACAGCTTTCCTTTGCAACGGGATCTGAAAGTGCTGCAAGACAAAAAAAATAATAAAACATCACCATAGGCAGTAAATTAGAAATTGACTGAACTGTATAATGTCTCAAACCAACAAATATGGTTGGTCCTGAATGGACTGTAATTGCATCATATTTTGGAAGGCCAGGCAGACAGAAATGCCTCACTGCTTGTTTTTTTCTTCATTTCTTGGGGTGATAGAGAACTCTTTTCCCTCTAGCAGTTCAAGTGCTTGCAGATGTCAAATCATTAGGATTTTCCCCTTCGTTAAATATAACAAGGTATATCCCTCTCCAAAGAGGACTTCCCTGGAAGACCAAATGGGCAAACAACAAGCACAAACTCAACAAGCAGGCTGTCATTCTATTCTTTGCCTGCCCTTCAGAAACTTGGACATTCTCTGCTTACAAAAAATCATGGCATTTGCTCATCCTCAGACTTGCAGCAAGATGATGTCATTCCAAAGCTAATTTCTGAGATCCATTCCACTTCCCTTACAGCTTGTTCCAAGCTTCTGTCCAACATTATAAATACAATTCTATATTGCTTTAGGAGCAGCCTCCCAAAGAAGAGCATCTTTAACACAGATCCAGGTCATCAAGAGTAATTTTTGCTACTACCTACCAATGCCCTCTGCAAAGTTGGGGTACAGTTCATCTGTAAAGAGAGGTTCAGGCAGCTCTCGGAAGTACAGCTTCAATGTGCCTGCAATAGCATTAACATCCATCTCGCTCATCATCACTGACACATCTTTGTTATCTGAAAGAGGGAAGAAGGGAAGAAGGGTTAATAAATTGCTGCCCTTGCATTCAGTTTTTGATTGCTTTGATTCCTTGTTTACCTACTGTCTTTGCCCAAATAGCTGAGAGTTTTCCTGTTTACATTTCTCTCAAATGACAACTGAGAAATGCTGGACAAATGGCTGCAGTTTCCAGCTTTAAATCAACTAGAAGGAAGTTCACACTATCCATGGTTCCTTCTGCTCTGCCAGCAATGCAGGCCTGATCTGGAAAAAGCCCTGCATGACTGCATTTATATGCATTTCAACTTTTTCTTAATGACCACATTGGTTACTCCAGTTCCCTGCCTTAAACAGCTTAGAATAAGAGACTCTGAGGCTGTCCAACTTCCTACTGAGTGCAGCTAAAGTACACAGGCAATTCAGGGCTCACATTTCAGTTTTGTTACTTTTAAGTACAAAAGAACCACCTCCTTCCCTGAAAACAAACATCAACCAGCAGAGCCATTGCTGGCTTAGCAGAAAATGGCATTTAATGTAAACAAAAAAAAAGTTGTTTTTCAAAATATGAAACACCTTTATTTGCACTACTGAGGATTCACAGCTACACAACTACCAATGCTTTTGGTAGTTTAGGGGGACAGAAAGAAAAATAGAAGAATGAAGAAATGCTACACATACAAAAAAAGAGCTCAAGAGGTCCTTTGGTTATCAGGTGGATGCTGAAAGTATGGCAGAAATTTCATTTTCCACAGCACAGCAGTCTGGAGGTGTTTAATTTGCTGAGTTTGGATGTCTTTCGGGGACATGTATGTCATTCCTTTAAATGCAGCAGCTCTAAGGAACACTGTTCTGTACAAGATCAAGGCAGGCTTTAAAATAGTGTCAAAATTAACTGAATTTACAATCTGCACACAGCAGTAGAGCCACAAAGTCAAGAAAAGAGTCCTGACCATCCGTCTTCTGATTGGTAAACCACCACTTCTTCCTAACCATCCACTGAGTTGCTTCATTTATTTTTTGCTTGCTTCCTTTCACAAAACATTCTCAAACAATTCCAAGGACTTCTAATAATTTGGAGGCAGCAATAAGGAAAACTGCAGCTTCTGGTTGCTGCTTCCCCTGAGGAAGCTACCTGCCATGCACAGTCTTGGCAAGTCCTGCAAACCAGCCGTGTCATGTCAGCTGGGAGGAATAACAGATGTGTTATTTGGTACAGGGATCTGTTCCACCATAGGTCTTGGGTCGCATCTGTGGCTGAGGAATATGAATAAAACATGCAGCCAGTTTTAAAATGATTCTCCTTGAATGAGAATCTCTCCCTCCTAATGCTTCTAGGGGAACGTAACATTAAAAATAGCACAGCCATCTGACAGGGAGCTCACACAGGTTCTCACAGTTAGGAGGAAAACATCAGGCACAAATACTTACTGACATCAAAGGCCGCTTTCAAAGCCTGGATGTCGGTTGCGACCCCAGAGACGCGGTAGATGCCCACCTCCTCCATCCCACGGCGCTCTATCTCCTCCACGCACTGGCGCACTATGTAAGGCACCTTTGATCTCTCCCTCCTTAAGAAAGGAAGACAGAAGAGTTCAGCAGAGCTCGTGCCCTCAATTCTTGCTACCCCAGCCAGAGAAGTGGGCTAAAATCACCCTGTCATTTTGCAGCAGCATTTTGCCCTGAGCATTTTGGCTCCTAGCCAGCTCCTACTGCCCCCTGTGTCTGCAGCCCTGCACAGGTAATCATAACATTCCCAAACTACCCTTGGATACATAGCAACACTGCTGCTTTCAAATTAATGCAGTTCCAAAGTGAGGAAACACTATGCTTCCCAAAGCATGTAACAGAACAAACAGGTTTCTTCTGGTAAACAATTCATGACAAAAGATCAAGGGTTCAAATAACACAACGGGATCCAAAGAACTTGAACATTTCTGGTCATGGAAAGGAAATAACACTCTTTAGTGGCTCTGGAACTTTGTGGCCAAGCCAGCTAACAGCAAAGTAAAAGGGCAAGGGGCATTTCCAGAACTCTGAGAAGTGACATGCTGGAAGTGGACACCTGAGCTTTCCAAGCCTGTATGCATGTTGGCTTTTTTTCCCATGCAAAAATGAAGCTTACAAGATGTAAACCACCTTTCTGCAGCAACAGCCATCTGCACTGCTACCCGAGTGGAGCAGACTGTACTGAGAAATCCCTCAGTGGGATTAAGACAGGTGCAACCCACTGGCTAATTGGCTTTTTCAAAAAGCAATAGGGAGAAATTCTACCCATCCACTCACTTGGTGACAATTGCAATCTTGACCCCAAAGACCCCCGTCTGTTTCCGTGATGGCATCCTCTTCAGGCTGAACTCTCGACTGGTAAACTTCACTGACAGCTTCACTTCAACCTGATCAGAAGAGAGCAGCTGTTACATTTCAAACATTTTCTTCCCTTTTTTTATTCTGCAACCAACAGCAAAGACATAAACCACATCAGAGGTGTGGAAGCAGTGCTGTTTGCTGTACTTACTCCATTCATTGAGATGACCGTGCGTTGCCAGTCTTTGTCCTGTAGTGTCTGTGGGTCCAGCTGAAAAACATGGAAATGACCCATGAGTCAAGAACAGACTTGGGAGAAGTCAGCTGGTCTGAAAGGCTTCTGTGAGTAAGCAAAGCTCCACCGCTTTCAGTGCATTATTTCATTCCCATAGGAAAACACACATCCCAAGGTTTCTCAAATTTTGGGTAACAGGACACATACTGTGCCATTCTCCAAGCTGGGATGATGATGACAACTCATTCATGTAGACAATCCAGCAACGTGTGTGCAGTGTCTGCTCAACATCAAAGCCTCAACAAGAAGCCTCAACAAGGAAAATCAGTATTTGAAAGCTAAGAACCTCACATTCCATGGAAAGGGAAACTGCAGTTATTGCTGTAGAATATCAGGCACATGCACAGCAGGCCAAATTTGCCCTGTCCCACAGGGCCAGGAGTCCAAAAATGGGAGGAAAAATTTCTGAAAATAGACTGATTTGAAACAGATCTCTCTCTTTCTCGAAGAGCTGCAAGTTCCAAGCACGTAAGCCAGAGAAGGTCTCCTTTGTTCTCTAATTTCTTGCCTAAAAGAGGCTTTGAAATTAATTTTCAAAATTGAGAAATAAGATCAGGAACTGGGAATCTTTGCGTATGTGTACACAGGAAATCTCTTGTCTGGACATGCATGCCTGCTTGCACGCTTTACTTCAGTTTGGAAGCCTCCTGATAGTTTCAACAGTCAAAAAAAAATTAATTCAGTGTAAGCACTGAAACATTCAAAGCTGGATTATCAAGGCTATGGGTTTTTCTATCAGTTCTCTTGTACTGCAAAGCAGAGCCTTTATATAATTTCTGTAAGATCAAAAGAAGCAGAAAATCCATCCTTAACATCTGCTCTAGAAACCAAGAGCAACTGCAGAGTTTTGTTTCGTTTTTTTAAAAAAAACTCTGTTTTTTCTTTTTGCTTTTTCCCCCCACTAAGTGTAATTCTACCTGATCTGCCCGGGCTCACAGTGTGATGATTGCAGAAATGTCAGATGCATTCCAAAAACCACACCTTACAGTGGACAAAGACAGACTTCCATGTTAAGCTCTTATTTTTCCATTCTGGAGTAATTTGTAAGCTTCAGGCAGTTACAAACGTTGAATAGGTTATTATTAATTGAACACGGGGAAAGAATCACTTTGCTGCTTCTGCACAAGTGTGAAGGAAAGCTAAGTCTGCTACATCACAAGAAGGAGGCAGCAAAACTCACGAGCAACGCGGGAGGGAGAGACCATGGCTGCTGAAGTGCAGTTCCTGCAAGAGCTGTTCCTCCCACAGTATCATAAAACCTTCCAAATGCATGGGAGAAAACAGATGCTGCAATCTGGTCTCAACTGGGGAAGTTGGACTGCAGTTCACCACAGACAGCTGTGGTTGGATGAGTGCAAAATTACTGCGCTGAAATAGAAAGCCAGACTTGAGAACTTCATATCTGGTGGCTATGAAGCCGATGGCTTCCAGGAAGGACTACATTCTGCTGAATTCAAAAGACACGACGACCCCACAGTGAGACAAAGGAATAGAAATGGAACGTGATCTACACAGAGAAAGGTAACTTGGAACAAATGAAACCTGTGTCAGGATCTGACAGTGAAGGAACCCAGCTGAAAAGGAGAAAGTCAGTTCAGAAACCATGGAAAGCTGTCCCACTTGGAACTACGTACTACTTTTAATTTCATCTTGTGCACAGTCAGAAAGAACACCTGGCTCTGCTATTGCAAGAATTCACTAACCAAAATCAGGTTCTGAAGCAAAGCCCCAAGCCCCATTTTCAGCTTTGCTTGATTTCTTTTGAGTGAACAGTTGTGAGGTTGGGGAGCAGCCGACTCAAGTACTCAAACATCACCCGGCAACTCCAATGCTGACTGAAAGAGTCCAAAACCAGGTGATTTTGCTGACGCTTAGCTCAAACTACACTGACAAAATACAGAAAAGACCTTCCTGCACGAGGACTTCCATCAGCAACCTGTACCAGCAAAAGCAAATAGACTTCAGCACCTCCTTAGGCAGCTTTGTGGCACTTGGCTCTTGAACACCTGAGACACTGTATGCTCAGATGGAGGCAGCTGCACCACACTCTGTGTTTTGAATTCACTGTTATCAGCAAAGAAAAAGACACCAGGGCTATTTCTGCAGTACAGTTCCTCCCTCTCACAAAACATGCAAAAGCAAACTTCTCTGCCAGGCAGAAGTAAATGTTGAAACAGTGGCACCTGCTGTACGTTCTGAGATCTCTTACACACCATCATGCTCACGCTTCAAACCATCAATCAATTAGCCCAGAACTGCTGTCAGGCACACACACGGCACTTCCCCCGGCCCCCTGCCACGCTCCCTGCAAAAGACAACAAGCAGAAAGAAGTTTCTCCCTGCTTACTCACACTGTGGAGACCCCAAGAAGGAAGGGATGAGCAGGTCAGGCCAACCTTGTCTCTGCGCACTTTGTTACAGATGTGATCCCACAGCGGGGTGCTGCCAGCACACACGCGCCTTCCTGCTGAATTGGACCGGTTCCTGTAGGTGTAATTGTGGCAGAAATTCCTGAAGATCCCTTGTAGGGAATAGTCAGTAACTAACAGCTCCCACATTTTGCGACTGCAGAAAGGATTGAGAGGCCAATGGGCAGAAGAGCTTTGCTGCAGCACTTCAGCAAACCCGAATAACAGAGCGTTTGCCAAGAGGCTTTGCTTTTAACTCCGGTGGAACAGATCCGCCCCCTCCTGTGTGCCTGGCCAACGTCCCTACAAGTTGGCCAGAACCTGAACTGTTCTCCCCTGAATTTCCGTGATGGAAGTTTGGTTTCTAGCGAACTGCATTCTTTCCCAGAATCAAGAGGAAACCATTTCTGAAGTGTTTGGTTTCCTATGAACAAGCAACCATGCTCAGGATTCCTGAAAACTTGACCTTCAGCTGTCTACAAAGCTGCCAGCAGGGATCTGCTGGTAGAGGCTGCCACAGCTAAACCTCCAAGCTGGAAACAGTTTTCTATCTGTTTGTAGAATGGAGTTATTGAGAGCATTATTTGTAGCAGAGAGGACTTATGATTGCAGGGAAAAGAGAGTTTGGAATATGTGCAAAACAGTTAAAGGACAACTCTAGCATGGCCCAGTTCATTTAAGCTAGCAAGTATTACCAGTTCTGCTTAGGTTATGGCTACAAAACTCCTACCACTGTGCAAAACAAAAGCAAGTAAATAGACATTAAAAAGCGTGAGTCCAAGTCCTACTCCATCTCCTCAGTGAATGCCATACAGGGAGAACCAGCAAAAGCAGTGCTCTGGAGTTGGGAGCTCACAGAGACTCTTCCTCGCTGGGTAACAATGGGGATTGAGCAAGGACTGCTGGTGCACCAGTTGCTGCTTATGCTCCTCTGTGTCTGAGCTCTGTTGCAGGGCTGGAGGGACCCCGTGCTCCCACCTGCTGTTTGACTGTTGGTAGGGAACAGCTTGTACTGAATGGAGGAGGGTGGAGGGGGGTCAGGCTGACCTGAGCCAACCCTGCACAAATCAATGGCTACAACAACAAAAAATGAACCCAAGGTGCTTTCTAAGTGACAAAGTCAAGTAGATGAAAACTAATAAAAGAGCAAAGCTTGAATAAGTTCTCAACAGTACTGAATGAAGCAGGAAGTTAGGTTTAAGTCTGACAAAATCACAGTAAGAAATAATAATGTCAGTGGGAAGCAGAAAACATCATTTACACCTTGAGCAAGCTTTTAGTCCTGGACCCTGCAGTGGATCAACCTTCTGAGACCAGCAAGAGCAACACAGGGAAAGGGCAGCAGGAGCAGGCAGGTTACAAAGCAGACTGATGACAAAGAGTTAGTGAGTGCGATGCTCCAGCACAGAGAGCTGTGACAAATGGGGTCATGCTGTCTTTTGGCCTGATTTGGAGATCAGTGACCTGGAAGAAGGAGCACTGAGTAGAAGAATGTAATCTACAGAGGGAGAGCCAAAAGGAGGCTGCTCTGAGTGAGCACAGAGCCCCCGTGTCACCAGCCCAAGGAGCACTGAGGCACTGTGAAATGGCCGCCTCTGCATTAATGTGACAGTGAAATGTACTGCACCTCTCAACATTTCCTTCAACTGGTTACTGGGTTTGAGCGACAAAAGGACCCATCTCATTCCCACCGAAAGCATGAAAGATTGTGCTGTGTGTCCGTGCAAACAGGACAGACCTGCTAAGAGCCTTATGGGCTTGTTTGCACAGCCCCCACTGGAAGCGCATAGGAAAACATGAACAAACTGGGCTGTGCTCCCCCAGCACCTCCAGGCCTCTTGTGGCCCACTTTTTGGCATTAGCAGTGGCAAGCTGCAGCCCTAAACTCACTAATGAATCAAGCAGATGCCTCTCTGTATCCTGCACAAAACACAAGAGAACAAAGCAGCTTGGCACCGCGGGGATTTTTGAGTGCAAGGTTCTAGTGCTCATAGCAAATCAGCAAAGAATTAAGGCACACAATTAGTGTACAGAAGTCAGCAGAGGCTGAGCGTGCGGAACACAAAGTGGCAGGGACCAGGAGAAAGGCAAACTGAGGACACTGGTCAATAGCAAATGCAAAGCAGGCACTAAGCTGTCCGTGCTTTGTCTTAAGAAATCACCACAGAGAGTTTGCTGATTTTTGTCCCCCAGAAGAGAAAAGAAAGTGGAAGAAACAAAGAAGCATCAGCAGAAGTGAAATGTCTGGGAGCAATGACTGAGGCAGCCTTAGCGTTAGTGTGCTTTATGTTATTTATTTGCATTACTTCCTCCCTTTATTAAATCTCCCTGGCAACTTCACACTCCATCAGTTTTTAAGTGTAACTGATGTGTCAGATGTGTTGTCAGAGTCTCACTGCTGCTGGAAACTCCCAGTCCAGCCATAACCCCATTCTTCTCCGAGCCCACTGCTGACATGTTAATCTTTGCCACCATCACCCCTTAGACATGACCCACTGCCTTCTTCACTTCCACCCTGTTTTCATTGCTGGGGTACTGTTCTGCATGAGCAAACCGTTTAAAGGAAGCCAAGCGTGTAAAAGGCTTTCTGAGTTGACACTTGGGAGGTACTGCATGCGACAATCTGTTTTACATGGAAAACAAACCTTGATGTCTGTGAAATAGCCATGTGCACTGCTATGAGACATCCCAGATAATTAAGCAGATAAGAGCGATCGTTCTGCATGGCAACAGAGGAATGATGGTGCGTTGCTACCACTGAATGACTGCTGTGAAGTCACGTCCTCCCTGATTTTCCAGTGCTGCTGTGAGGGAGAAGGAAACAGTTTGCCTGAGCTGATCATGCAGTAAAAAGAAATAACAAAGGAAGTGGCGTATCTAGGAGGCACCAACTGGAGGAGATGGATCACAGGATGAAGCATCAGTTTGCTCAGGCAGTCTGTTCCCGAGGCTGAGGCCAGTATTGCTGATATATGTGCTTGCTTGCATGCACAGTCCCAAGACCAAACAAAAGGCAGCTACACTCAAAATTTGGGGAAACGCTTGCCACATGAAGTGTAAACCTCAAAGAGCAAAAGAGCCATCCAAATGCCAAAGACAGATTGCAAGGTCACAACAGAAAGAAAAAAACCAGTTCAAAATGAGAGACAAACTGAGCCTAAAAGTGAGCTCAGCTTCATGCTCCCTGCTGCAAAATATCTGTCCATTTCCTCCCTTCCCAAACTCCTCCCCAACCTCAGATTCACAGTGGCACCTTCTCCCTGCTTTTCTAAATGCCTAAGGTGTAACAGAAGCCTCCCCCCATGTGTGCATCCAGTGCTGTCACTCCCAAGTCTCGTGAGGATTTCAATTTCTACCTGCAGAAGAGCTTCTCCCATATCAGAACTTTACAGTTTTATTTTTGAGGGAGAAAATTTGCAGATTGGCAAGCCACAAAGCTCTGGCTCGTGGCTATAAAAACAGGGAAATAAAATATTCCATAGGAAGAGAAAACATGAGCAATGGGAGCTATTAAAGTCACTGCCCATTCCTGGAAGCTTGTGACCACATGGACCAATTTCCAGTCTTCCTTCCTCCTGTGCCGTTATGCAATGGAGAGATTTAATAAACATTTCACAGCCTCGTCTCCCTGATTCTTTGTCTTCCTCTCTGCAGCACCGAGAATGTGGTGAGTCAGGAATCCCAGCAGGAAAAAGCTGCAGATTTACAATAATACATACATGGCTTGAGAACACATTACTATTTAACCAACACAGAATTTTCCTTTTTTATCAACTAGAGGATGCAGACACGACTCCTGACATTCCCAGACTTCTTAACTATGGGGAATTTTGGAAAAACTCACCCAACTTCACAGATGTTGCCTTTAGACGAGACAGACTTTGGCTGAATAATAACAACAACAACAACAAGACCTGCATAGACTAGAAACTCCAGAGTAAACAAAACTTCTGAAAGAGAAATGAATGTAAAACTGATGATAGGAAATAAAATGCTGACAGCATGAACACAGCTAACCTTCAGCCACAGACACTGATTTTATTTTGATATTATAATCTCTTAATAGAGAGAAATCTTTGGAGGTTGGATTTAAAATCAGAACAAGATAAAACCCTTCAGTAATTCTTATCAACCTCAAATCTCACCAGACCCTCTTATGACTTAGGTTTGTTGTTACTCAATAGTGTTAACAAGCTGCATGATAAAACAGAAATCACTGAAAATTGAGGATGTTCAGAAAGGTCACAAAGAGTCCTTAAAAACTGCAATGGGGATTTACCAAAAATGAGAGCTTTTGTGTTTGCTTTTTGTGATAAAACACAGCACAAATTCATGTATTAGCCAAAACATTTCTGTTGATTTTTTTTTTAAGCTTTCCAAGCTGTTTAGATTTCTCTAAAAGAAATAAGTGATTGAATTCAAGTGCCACCAACAAGTATTTATACTTATTAACTTCATGCAAGATGTTTTAATACAACATGCACATCCTGTGCATAAAAACACCTGCTCCTGTGGGGAAAAAAAATGTCAAAAAAAATTAAATCTTGTACTTTTTTTTTTTTTTTTTTTTTAAATCTGTGTAACACATTTGAAGACTTTAGAAGGTCAGTGATTCCAGGGTTCTCCAATGAGAGCACTCAAATCTCCAGGGCATTTCAGGGCTGAAAGCTTGCTCTTTTGTAGTTGCTCAGATCCACAAAAAATCAGCCTTTGTCAGCAGAAGGGACACACAGATCTCTGCTTGGCCTGAGAGTCACGTTCTACTAGCATTTATTGATTTGTATGTACATTATCTTCCAAACACCCAGCGTGCATTTGGTGACAAAGCTTTCCCTGAAAATAGTATGGGAGCTTCAGGGCTGCAAGGAGGAGGGGGAGAATGGGCCTCATCAGCCTCATTTAGACAGCAAACCCTTCTAGAGTAACAGTGAGATACGATCCTGCAAGCTGCCCACAATCAGAGTTGCTTCTGAAACGCCACCGATGGCCTTGGTCTGTGTGATTATCACTCACACCCTGGAAAAAGCAGTCATCCAAGAAGTGGCAAAGACCTAAAGGTAAATGAAGGTGAACCAATACTATTTTTCTGCACACCAGAAAGGAAAAGCTTTCTGGGTAGGGAACAACAGCCAGTCCAATGTAAAGAATGCATCCTCAGAACAAACGCTTAAACAACTCCCTAAAGCTGTGCACAGGCAGTGCAACAATCTGGAGGAAGCGTAGGAACACATGTTCACTATGACAGCACCCACTGAGGAGCCTGATTTCTCCTGCATGGAGCTTTAGTCCTTTATCACACAGCAGCTCCTGGAGAGCAGCACCCACCTGCAATCATCCCCTTCCCTTCTATATTTGCTACACAAAGTGCCCACACTGATTCACAGTGGTGAAATAGTTCAAAAAACCCATTTATCTCAGATGCAGTCTGTTGTCATGGGCACTAAACTTTAGACGTGGCAGTTATCAGGACAATAACCCTGTCTTCCAAGGCCCTCCTAGCACATCAATCAACTTCCAGCACACAGGGAAGGAGGGAAGGTAGTGTTCTTCTGTGTAGTATTTTCACTGCTTCCTCTTTTGTCTCAACAGTACCCAGGGCTCACTGCAGCTTCTGTATACTCTGCTGGAAGTGCTGAAGTTAACAGGGAAATCAAGTGATCAGAACCTAATTTTTTCTGAAAAAGCATCTTTTCTAATAAGGGCACTGAAGTAAGCAAGGGGGACAAGGCAAGAGGGAAAAGGCTTCCTACTTATGAATCTCACTGTATTTCTCACTGTCTGGAGGAAAACTCCCAGTGTTGAGGCAATCAGAAGGCAGAAAAAAAGCTCTCTGGGATGCTCTAGGATTTAAATACGTGTCATGTTTTGCAGTAGTCAGGAACAAGTTAAGTGCAGTCTTACCTGGATCTGTCCTTTTCCCATTATGCGATCTGTGCTCTCTCCATCCTCTTTGGTGAGCTTCATTTTGTTGTAGCACTTTTCATAGCACAAAATCCGCAGAGTTTGTGAGCCTTCCAACTCAATCTCAAACTCCTACAGGGCACCAGAAAAGGACAGAGCAATGAGTACACCACAGCAAGACTTTCAGTCTCTTCATAGTCAGGATATTATCCTTAAAACTCTTCAGGAAGGAGCACTTCAGGTCTGGCAAAGATCTCCTTCCTGATGAAAATGGTCTGAAAATAAACTGGAGCTCTATTTTGTATATGTAATGTGGTCAAATTAGAGACTAAGGCAGTTGGCTCCTTAGCCAGGTTTCACTGACATGCAGCAAAGCATCATTTAAAGAAACAAACTCACCTACATTCCTCTAATTTTGCTCTCCAGCAGGTTTGCAAGTTGCTGTAAGCAGGCATACGTCTAATTCTTTCTCCTCACAACAAATAAAAACACCTTCACAAAAATCCTCCTTCAGTATATTTTCACTGATGCCTTATTAAAAAAAATATTAATCAAGCATCTGTGTTTAAATGATGAGATGCTGGAAAATGCAAGACTCATTTTGTACTGAAAAATTTATTTAACTCCATCCAGATCAGGAGAAAATCTGTGAGAAGGAATTAGAGCCAGGTGGATTTGCCATCAGTGTGATTGCTGAAAGGCAGCACATGCTGCACAAATCCAAAGCATGCAGCATGGGCTTCACACAAAACGTTCTTTCGTTTGTAGTTTTTCTACCCATCACGCACTGATGTCACGTGGAAAACACCACAGCAAGAACAACCCAACCTACCTCATTCCAGTTGGGCTCCGTGGTGTCTCTGTACACTCTGGTTTTGGCCTTGTTCACAAAATACCCAAAAGAATCGACCTCTAACGTGCAATACAAATCTGAGACAGGGAAGACAGAAACTTCATAAAAATTTCCAGAACCTCCTATCTTACATTAAACACCTTTAGGGTGTTTCTTCATTTATATCTTCTCTGTATTTGTACCAGTAACATTGGCCAATGCAATTTTGTCATCTGGACCAGCAGAGTTTATGAAGCTGAGTTACCAGTACAGTGGTATAAATAACCTCAGCACAGACAAGCCTTTCACCTATATCATGAGTCTGCTGTGTGCTGTTAACTAGTATTTCCCACATCAAGCCACAATGAGCAGAAGGTTTACACCAATGAGAAATGAAACTTCCCTAGGCAGATACCAGATCCCATCAGCACATCAGAGCTGATTTCACTGGCAACAGCATCTGCATAACATCCCTCAGAGACGAGGTAGGGCCGAGTCATCAAAACCTCATTATCTCCACACTGTTTAATGATGTGGTATCTCGTGTTTTTGAAAAATAGTGATGAACTGCAGACATTGCCCCTATTTTTATGTTTTAAGCTATGTTAGCCAGTACCATTGCGTTCCTCTAAATTTATACCAATGTCCCAATTTCTCTTTCAGTTCCCCAAATCACCACTCCTCTTCCTCATCATCATCCCAGATGCTGCAGTCCTAAATGAATCCACACCCAGGAGTCAACAGCACCATCATCTCCCCCCTGCTATTTAACATCCCCCAGCACCTCTGTGTTACAGAACTACAACTCACTTGAACTTTGCTTGAATCCTGTGGCAGAATGGACAATGACATTCAGGAATCCATAGAGACCTGGAGATTCATCATCTATACAACAAAGCAAAGAAATGCTGTTAAATTTACAGAGAAGCCAAGGGAGAAAGACAGAGTGATTAGTTAATTTTGCAGAAGTTTATGTCCCTAAAATGGATGTAACAGGAACATGCATTCTAGCCATTTATAACTTCTGGCAATTTGAGGCTTTTACAATGCCACTGCTAGGGTCAGCAAGACAGCATGGAAGAAATACAAAGGACAAAAGTAATATATAGACACAAAGCCTATACCACCAGGCTAAAAAGCAACATAGGATGGTCTCTGACGCAGTGTCCTAGATTTGAAAATCATCACCAGATTGAAGCTGTAGCAGAAAGAAATATTAAGAGTAGCTCTAGGGGAAATGCACAAAGGCAGGCAGAGACAGGCTTTCACTGCAGCTACACCATATGAAAGCATAAACTGTATGTCTTACCTTCCTTATTGATAGTGAGGGGAATGTTGTGAACTGTCTGGAGTTTCACACAGGAATTTGTCAGCATCTGGAGCTCCACTGATGTGAGCGAGAAGCTTTTAAAGCCTGCCATGGAAATCCAAAGGAAGAGCAATTGAATTCAAAGCAAAAGCTGCATGCATGCTCTCTCATTCTGGGCATGCACAGGACAGCTGCTCCCTGGGCAACACTCAGCAACAGTACCATAGCATTTAGGTCTGTGATACTGCTGCAGCCTGTCTCTGTTTAGAGCATGTTCAATTACTCCAAATTTAGAGTAAAATGCCCCAAAGTGGTTCACAGGAATCAAGGGGCACCAGCATTCTTGCAAAGCCTAAAAATACCCATGCCAAAATAAAAGTTTCTCTGGTCAAAGGGTGCAGTTGTTTCCTCTACCTGGAACTACACATCTCTACCTGTAGGGTAAATGAGAGAAATTCCTTCCATACATTCCCTACATGGTATGGGAAGCAAAATTCCCACAGACAGACTCAGATATGCAGAGACAGAAGACTTTCAAATTCCACTCTGAATGCCCCACATCATATCCTCTGGATTTAATTTCACACCATTTGAACCAATAGCCAGCTGAGGTTAACTCACATTTCTTCTGCTGCTCCCGGATGTTCTCCCTCCACTCTGCCCTTTCGTAGTCTGATGAAATGAGGAACGTGTAACTCTATCCAAAAAAACAGAAGAACGTGGGGTATGCATTAGCCTGACTCACCACTGAGAGCTGGTCTGCCTCCAATATTTTCTCCAGCAGAAATTCTTGGATATACTGCTCTTCTGGTACTCTTCCCATTGCCCTACATCACAGCTTTGTCAATGACAGGCAGGACTCTGGCACTGTGCCATGTCAGCAATGTGTCAGCAGCACCAACAAACAGACTCCTGCAGTCAGAGCCTTCACAGGGCTCTGCCCTGCAAACAGCAGCTGTGGCCCTGGCAGCATGAGGTCCCACAATAGCTCTGCACAATTCCTTACAGCAGCTGCACCGTGAAACCTAAAAGCTTCCATGACAGGCCAAGACACTGATGCAAGCTGAAGAAGCAGTGACCAGCTTCTGAATTCTGACTGGTTTGTAACAGGATCTTGTGGCAGCCCTTTGCCTTGTGTGTGCTAAGGCCACAGAGATATGTTCCAGTACTGTCAGAGCAGGTGATACCTCTGGCACACAAAGATATGGGATACCTCTGTCCCGCAAAGCTAAAAGGAGATTGTTCTCAGCATCCCTGGTGCCAAGTGATTCTGTGAAGTGCAGCACACAGCTCTGAGGAGGCAGCCCTCAATGCACTAAACCTTGAACTGAAGGGGAGGCCAAAAGGGAGTAGCTGCAGAGCTTTTTCTTAGGTGAAGAGGGCAGTTCCTATTGCTCTGACAGGACTTGTCCAATCACAGACAGGTGTTCAGCTAATAGATTCATTTATATATATATATATATTTTTATGCCAATGTCACATTCAAATTAGTCATGGCCTTCCAAGACATTATCATAACCTTCAGTGTACAAAGCGTTAGGCGTCTGCTCCTTGGAAAGTGCTTTCAGACCAGTCAGAATAAAATAGGATCTCCTTATACAATGCAAATGCAAGCACACAGAGCCCCTTAGCATCTTTCTAGTACTCAAAGCCTGAGGCAGATCAAAACAGCCACTCACCTTGCCATTGCGATTGTGCACCCGGAAAGCCATGTTGGGAGACATCAGCAGCAGGAGTGATTCCTGTTCTGAGAGCTTCTTTTTCAACCTCTCAATGACCTTGCTGCCCTTATTGGCCCTCTGAATGGTGGGGGGAGAGAAGAAGACAAAAGGATGTGCACATCATTCTTCTCACTTGCTCTCTTTTACACCAACACATTTTCAGACCCACAGTCTCTTTCCTCTAAAGGAAATGAAGATCATACTCTGACAGTCAGATGCCAGACTTTCCACATATTGATATGCTATACTCCCAGTCTTTCTCATGTCTACAGCATAAGAGCTTCATTTTCAACAAAAGTGCCTGGAAATAATCACAGGCAGATCCATTTAAGCAGAGGAGCAATATAGCATCTTTTGTTATTCCTGCCTCCCTCAGAGGAGGCCATCATACAAGCAGTGCAACAGTGGGCTGTGCAGCAGTTTAGATATCACTGATAACTGAGCTGTACCACAAATCTCTGCTGAACAGCCTGTTTTAGCAGGATTCTCCATGCTGTCCAACCCTGGAAAGGTTGCTTCTATCAGCATCTCATCTCAGCAGAGATATTGAGTCTGTTCTGTATGTGGGATGGAATGCTCAACCTTTTTTTTTTTTTTTTACCTTTTCACGCTGGATATCATTCTTGATCTGGGATATCTTGATTTTCATGGCATCCAGTTCCTCATCAGGTACCAGTGGGATGTTGGGCACTGCCTCAGACTCATCCACCATTTGGAAACTAAGGTCAGTGAGTGGGATGTACCATTTGCAGTCATACTGCTGGCTTTTTCTGAAAGACAGAAGGTCCAAACCTTTGCTGCTTAATGGTGCTTGGCAAACACTCACTTTCTCTTCCTACAGGTCATTCCTCATTATAGCTCATAAGATACAGAATTAGGGACAGCTTCTTTATGACTTCCAAGTCAGAAAAAAACCTGGTAAAATGCCGCTTTCCAGTAAGAAAGCCAAGAAGGGCCAATTTGCCAGTACAGTGCACAGCAAAGCAAATTGTTTTGTTACCTAGCTCTTTCTGCCCTAAAAGAGTCCACAAAAATCCTGTGCACACCCTTTTAATCCTCTGCTCTGCCTCTTCAAAGCCTCTGTAGAGGCAGAGTTTGAAAGCAAAGCCACATGTGTGAATGGATGGCTGTCTGTGGTCTAAGCTCAGGTCTCTCCTGTCTGAGCTGGGATGGTCGAGTTGGGGGTAGAAGTGTTAGTGTACAAACTTCCATGTAACCCAACCAGAAGAAACTACACCTTGTGACTGCCACTCCACAGTGCTCTCACCAGAATAGCCTGTCCATGTTTTTTAATGTTTTGTGCTATTTACTCCCTTCTTCACCCCTCCTGCCAGAACAGACATTCTTGGGAAAGTCCCACTCTCTTCAAAAATACTTCCCTGGAAGTATGTGCTTCAAAAAGGGCACGAGCAACTTATTGCTTGAGGAGAGCAAGGAGAGGAGTTTCTCAGAGCCAAGATCTCCTATGATGGACAGCACTTCCTTGCTGCTCACACTCTGTCCAACTACATTTTATAGATTCTGGTTACCCAGGACTGGAGGATTCATATTCAGCTGTTGTTGCTGGCTAAACCCAGGACTCTGCTGAAGCTGAGATGCAAAACACATAGACCAGAAGGGAAACCTCACCCTCCAATCTGCTTCTTGAGCTTGGCACACAGGAACAGATCAGTAAAAAGAAAGACGTGACGTAGTTTGCGAGCCCCCTCAACGAGCTCCACCATGAAACTGTCCTTCAGGAGCTGCCGGTGCTGGTGAAAAACAGAAAACATTTCAGTTAGTGAAGAAAGGGCCTGAGATAAAGCACTGAACCTCCCTCAGCGATGCACTCCTTATGCCTGACTCCTACCAGAGCCAATTCAATGAATCGTTTCAACTCAGAGAAAAAACAGGCTGTTATGTGCTCCTTGCTGTGAGCTCTGCTCCCTGCTGCTGCTTTCTCTCTCAAGGGCAAAAATGGCTTTATTCATCAGGTGCCAGGTCAGAGCTGAGGTTTATTTCCATCACCTGTCTCTGAGACCAAGTGTTACTTATGGTGAGTCATTGCCTGGCTTTAAGTGCCCAAGGGCCAGCATCACAGCATCCCTCTTACAAACCAGCAGAGAGCAGCAAACACCACTTTTCTGTCCAGACTTCCCCCATCATTCAGCTACTGAATTCAGTTCAAGTTACTCCCAACTCTGCATTTGCTAGATACAAAATGTATCTAGCAAACTTCTCTGTAGTCCCTTACCTGCTTGTGTTTAAACAGATCATCTGGATATGCCCCTACCCCACACCTATTAAAAGCTTTAAAAGCTTTTTTTTTTTTTTTTCCTCCTAAATAATTAATACAATAAATCAAATATTCCCCAAATCTAGATGATACAGATAATTCGCTTAACCTCGATATCTTTATTCCTATTTCTAGTTCCTAGGAGACTTAAAACTTCCTAAATAACAGGCATATATTGGAGGGCAAAAGCATCTTTTCCCTTCTTCCCCTACAGGGACTCCAGCTGACAGACAGAAAGGCCGGAGCACTGGCACTGAGACAGATGGGTCTGTGCTGTCACCAGTGACCAACACAGGAGTTTCAAGCCCTCCACTATGCCCAGGCCTTCTGTTCTGATGTCAGGATCGATATGAGTCCGAGTGCACATCATGCAGAATAGAAATTTCCCCATGATTTTCAAAAGCAAGCCAAGGGTATGTCACTGGCAAATTTTATTCCCACAAATATGCCTGTCAGTGTTAGTTTGCTTCACAAGCAGCCACCATTAGCTTCTGCACACAGGTTTCCTAAGATGCCTTTTCCTCCCCCATAGTACTTTTACTTGTTACTCCAGCTAAGAGGATGGCCTGCTGACACCAATGAGTGACATTACACATGCTGTACATGCCAAGACAGCACTATGGTTGGAGATAGGAGAGATCAGCTCACACTGCTCAGTGCTAACCAACAACACTCCCTTCTGCTCTGTCATCCTTCTCCAGGCCCACGCACAACTTGTCAGTAGGACAAGCATCTCCGCAGGAAATTCATATGCAAAATCTGTCCTTTGCCAAGAGGCAGCCCTGCTCAGCTGCACAGCAGTGTGCAATTGGAAAGCAGTTAACTTCGGCAAGGTCAAGACATCCAAACCAGAATTCATGCCTCAGTTTCTCAGGGTTATGCCTCACGGGTTTTACTTGCTGCATGACTTAACAAGCCTTGAGCACGTTCACTGCAGAGGGTGTGGGAGTTCAAACCCCCACACTCCTTCTCCCTCCTACCATCCGTCCCATCCTGGTTCTCCAAAATGAAAACAAACCACATCAGCCCCAGCAGGCAGCACGGCAAGAAACGCACAGGAGAGAAATGTTCTTGCAGTCACAGTTCTTGTTTCTAGTCTGTTCTAGAATGCCCTAAACTTCCTGATACAGACTAAGGGTCTGCATTTTCCTGTCTGCACCTTGTAGCCAAGAGCTGCTGAAGCACAGAAGCGTGTCAGCATCTCACCTTGGGTCTGCTTGCCACCACACAAAGGCCCCAGGAGTCAGTGAGCAGCAGCAAAAGCTGCACCTTTCCCATAGTACCAGGAAGGTAACACTGCTCCCTAGCAGACTGTTGCACCATCTCTGGGCACAAGTCTGTGAAGATGCAGCATCCAGCACTGATTCAGGCTCTGGAAGGCCCATATATACATTAATATTTATTTTTTAGGCATGATCCTCCTGGTTTCTCCTCAGTGGTTTTGGAGGGAAGGCCTGCCTGCATTGATGTCTGCTGCTGATGTGCACTTGCACCCAGCTCCCCACTCCTGCCTGATGAACAAATCCCAGGTAGGCAGGAAACTAGAAACATCCAGCTTTGAAAACAAATAAATAAGAAGGAGGAGGCATATTGGCAGTAGCAAAAACACTCTCCACAGCTGCAAAGAATTTCTTCTGGGAGCAATAATGAAGCAGGGAAAGAGATTTTGTGAACAAGCCCAAAACCTGATCTCGGGCTGCTAACTCTGATGCATATTAATTGTGCTGCAACTCAGCTCAGCTCCTTTGGGGCAATGAGAATAGCTTCTTGTTGCTTGCCCAAGCTCTGCTTATTGTTCACCTAAACCACAATAATTTGAAGGTAAGCATTTCCTCCAGTGAAGGGAAGCCTATGCAGAGGGAACAGTAACTGCAGGCCTTAGTGTCAAGCTTCCACAAAGTAAGAAGAGTCCATCAGCAATCCCTGCAGCAAGCCTCCACACGGCCTTCCTGGTCCACATAGGTGACCCCTCTTTCTGCCTTCTAAATTTGCACAGCCTTTGGCTGCCATCATCCAGGCAGACTTTCTCCAAGCAGTCATGCTCTCTGTCCCACATCTCACTAAAATCCAAGCAGAAAGCTCAGCTATGTGATGCCAAATCAGGGGTGTGATTTAAAAGCCTTTGTACATCCCATCTGGGACTAAGGTACCACTTGTTTGCACTGAGTTTCTTTTGGCTGGCACTCTGGGGTATGAATATCCAGATCGACAAGACACAGTGCTTCCATGAGGCAGCAAAAGTCTTTGGCAGCAGGTTCTCTCAGAAATAGAGCTGGGTGGAAAGAAGACAAGGGTATATTTCCTAAGCTTGCTTGGAACAGAAGTAAAGAGGTGAAAGGGATGTATGCTAGTCAGCCACTCAGGAAAATACTAAGCTTCCCAAAGCTGTCACTCATTTCTTCTCACTGAGGAGCTAGTTTAGGAAGCTTCACCTTTGGAGCAAAGGTATACTACCACTATGAGCAACCAAGGATCTAGGGAGGAGAGGAGAGGAGAGGAGAGGAGAGGAGAGGAGAGGAGAGGAGAGGAAGAAGAGTTTGGGGGTCAAGTCAGGAAATGTATCCTCACAAGGGTGTGGAGCTTGATATTAGGTCTAACTACCAGCTTCTCTGGGAAAACAGGACTTTCATTAGGGCTGGCCACAACAAGCGTGCTCCAGGCTGCTCAGCATCAGTGGAGCCGAGGAGGAGCACTTCCAGCAAAGGGTCACATCCTTTGTTGCAAATGAGTCAACTTGCCAGGAGGGTTCAGCAGGTCAGAGGGAAACAATAAAAGGATTTCCCAACTGGCTTACCAGATCCCTGCCAAGCCCCACAGCCAGGGAGCACAAGGCACCTTTCTGACCTCCTGCATGAGTCAGCCCATCCTACCCCACACCCTGGGAAAGCCAGGGGTCCCCATAGGCAGCACTTGTGCTGTCAGGTATCCATACCACCTCAGTTCCATAGGTCATATTTTTTGGAACCAAAGTCTATGTTGGTTAACTCTCTCCTGTGGGCACCAAGAGCTGTTCCTTTGTTAGCCTCTGGTTAAACAGTCTCCCAAAACATGAGGTCTTTTATCTGAATGAATGGTCCTGTGGTATTGTATGTCACATACAACATGTGTTGGGAGACCATCTCTCTCAACTTTGTTTCTGAAGTTACACTGTATTTGCAAAGGTTACAAAAGGTGTTAAAGGTTTCCTAAAATATCCTGAAATCACATAGAGATTACAGAAACACCAAAGAAACATCCAGCAAAGCATGGGCTTAGTATCAGAGTGGCAATGCAGTGGCAAAGGGACCCCATGTGTCCTACAAACAGCCCCAAGACTGGCAGCTGTTCAGCTCAGGAGCTCAGCTCAGATGCTGAAAGACTTTCCAGGACATCTAGAGGAAAGCTGCTTATTTCATATCATTATAGAGTGAATTAGTACAGCCTTTACCTCTCAAACAGTGCCTGGGCAAAAACTGTCACCTTCCAGAGGCTTTTGCTATGCTCCAATATTGGCTCAGTACAAGCCCCAAGTCTCCTTTCTAGACTTTGCTTTCTTTTTCATGTTTTTAGCTGCTTCTTCTCTCACCCATCTCTGTGTCCCAGACAGAAAAGCTCTCCCTTTATGCCCTTCAGTGCCTGGATATCCTCTTTGGATTGCTTATTGTTTTCCTCTTACCTCTGCCAGTGAGCATCTTCTCTGCTACCATCATGCTCATCTATTCATTCTCCATTGTTGTGTGCTATTTGTAAACGATAAATCCTTCTGCTGCCGTGTACTGTTTAACTCCAACAACTGTGGCAGAAGAACAGCCTGAGATACATTACAAGAAGTGGAATTTAAAAATATATTCATCCAGAACCACAGCTGTACGAGGGGCCATCTCCTCACGTGACAGCCAAGCAAAGAGCTCATCCGATGTGACAGCAGCAGCGTGCGTGGGTGAGAGCCCCCGGAAGGACTGGAACATGTGTGATGCAGGAGGAGAAGGGTAAAAGCAGAAGATGGGTATTGGCATATGTCAGTAAGGAAGAGTGGTTTGGCTTTCTGCAGAGCGTAGGAAGAAAATGATTCCTTGAGTGTGTGCATGTTTCAAGACCAGCACTGTAGAATTAAGGGATTCTATGCTTGGAGAGATAAATTGGCTGCTTTTTGCATATTTAGTAATTTTTTCCTCCCAAGCTTCTGTCACCAGAAGTTCTCTGACTCCAGCTGTGAGGCAGAGTGTGAAGCATCCAAGAGTATTTTTTTAAGTATTCTACTGTCAACACCTGTCCAAAGGCTCCAGGAGAAGTATGCACCAGGCCTTGAGCTGTGCATGCCTGTCTGCATCTAGGCTTAGTCCTCAACTTTCCAAAGGCTTTACTTTGCACTTCTGCTCCTTTGCAACCTCCTCTCCTACTTAAATCAAACAGAAGCCTAAAGCAATGATATCCAGTTTCTTGCCTGCAGTTACAAGTCTTGTTTAGATACGTGTTAGAGCAGTCTGCCAACAACCTCTTCTCTCCAGGGCAGGAGAGGAAGGTCCACAGCAGCGTAAGCTGATCCAAAATGTGATTTGGGGGGACTTATTTTCAGAAGGAACATCCTGTCTGCTCTCTTTGCATAAAGACTGGTGCTGAGGATAACAGACACTAAGCTACTCAGCCAGTATAGTGACCCAAAACTAAAAAATGGCTTTGTTTTCAGGTAGCTCCATCTCTTCGTACCACTGTGTGATCACACAAATCCCAGTGCTAACACTTCAAAGAGAGTAGGAGTGTGCAGCCATGGGTGAGGCAGAATGGCAGCCACCACCACTCTGATTAGTTTGAATTATCCTGAAACACCCTGCAAGGAGTACGAGATGAGCTGAAGCCAAGGAAGGGACACACATCTACCAAATGAACTCTGCAGTTTTGTCAACCTCTGCTTTACAGGAATGGGCTGAATTAGCTGGAAGCACAAATCTTGGCAGGGAAAGATGACACACGCTCCAACAGTCATTTGCATCTAGGTTCAGCTAAGAAAAAACATGCAATCTGCAGAGCTCGTTTGTTAATAAGTCTGGAAGGGCTATAACTCCTTCCCTTCTGGCATGTAATATTTGTACGTACTTCATCTCAAAGCACTTATTTTCCTGCTTTCTAAGGGACCAACTCCTGTAAAACCTTAAATAGGTTTCCTATTAAAGATGAAAGAACAGAGGAGAAGAAGGGTCAGCAGTGAGCAAATAAGTGGCCTGCTCCACGGTCTTAAGGGGTGCAAGATTCTCCATATTCCCTTTCTGAGTCAAAGGGTACTGTGCTACGCAGACCCCCTCTTCCCTCCTTTTGTGAAACTGATTTTTTGAGTTGGTGAAGTGGATATCTGCAGATAAAACATCAAAAAATGTGAAGAAGTAAAATTACAGAAGCAGTAAGCTGGGAAGAAACAGAGCAGCAAGAAAATGGCACAGATCAGGTTGAAGGGAGAGAGATTCAAAAGTCTGGAAAAAGCCTCCAGTAAATCCCTCCTGCCATCTACAAAAGGCTCAAACCATTCCTGAGAGGTACAGACTGAGCTGGACCTGAAATTCTCCATGCAGGACCAGAAGAGTCATCAAAAATGGCAAACCTTTACTCCGCCCCACATTTCTGCCTTTCCTTTGAGTCTTACTATGAGGACATATCCCAAACCCTTCTGCAGATCATGGAGGAACACGATGCATCCTTCTCCTCAGCACAGGACTCCCATGCTCTGCTAGCCAAATTCAGCCTCAGGGCCACTGCTGCCTTCCCAAACACCAAACAAATACACTGAGTGAACCACTCACAAACCAAACAGGATGGGGCTGGTGCTATCCTGGATCCTCTGTACCAGCAGCCCCCAGCAAACCACAGAACAAAGAACTCTAGTTATTGTTAGCCTGACCGGCAGCAAGGGCCAAACTATGTGCAGTATTCCCTCCATCCTGGCTTGTAGGCTTAGCCCAATTGGATCCTCCCTTTCCTGTTATGGCCCCTTCTGTCTCCACAGTGAATGGTTTTACTCCCTTTGCATTCATCTCCTCGCTCTAACTGAAATACTCATTCAGCCCCAGCAGATTAAATCATATTCGTGCATCACAGAAAACTTCCAGTTCACGTACATAAGCCCAGAATTAGCAAAAAAAAGCCTGCCATGAGAAACAGGACTTGGATGCTCCTGTGCAGGAACAATATTTGATGTCATTCAGGAAGGCAGAAGCCAGGTCAGTGTGAGCCAATGCTCACAGAGCAGGAACCACCTTTTGTAAAAGAGATCAAGACTGTTCATGAGCTTGTTCTATGTTTTGACCTGCACTCTTCTTAGCAGCCTGTCACTAGGGAGATTAGCCACTCGCAGCTTTCCTCAGTTCAAAGAGATCCTGAAAAAAAGAGCTGGAGAAAAGGAGATTTGACTCCTCCCCATGATGCACCCCAAGGAGGAAACATACTCTACATAAAAGGCAAGGGCTGGGAAAAAAAGATAACTGAGATCAGCACCTAAGCAGTGCATAGGGGGAAAATGCTGTTTTCCCTCCTTCCTTTTCACCAAGGAAATTTCAAAGGGGAGTAAGACAAATAATAATAATAAAAAAAAACTATCAAAGCAAGCTGGTGATTCATTAAAATAAAAAAATGCATTATGTATTGAGGGTAGTCAATTAGGAAATGCAAACTGCACACTGCCCTGTCACCCCAGGGGAAGCATAAGCAAGGGGAGTGGGAGGAGAAAAGGAAAAATATACAGGCGGAAACAAAACCCAGCTATGACCCCAAGGTGAGTAGCCTGTAGGAAGCAACACCTATCACTAACCCACACAAAGCAGCTGGAAGCCTGCTTCTGCCTCTGGATTATTGTGCAAAGAATGAACATAGCTACTCCCCAGACAGATACTGATTTGAAAGAATGTGGAATACTCATCTGAACAACTGGAGAAAGTATCCACGTTCAGTCTCTCCAAGTGGAAGACAAACAAGGAAGCATCAGAAGCAAGTTCTTTTCTTCCCTAGGCTCAGTACAAGCAGTGTGCAGTGAGGCAGAGCACAAAGGGTTCCAGTTTCCTCCAGCACACCTACAGCCCTATCCTTAGATATGTACTCTCTCCATCACACACAAAAGCACTAGAGGACCACTGAGCTTGTGAACAGGCCTGCTGAGCACAATTCCAACAGGCCTCCTCCTTCCTGCTTTGTAAGATCTGACAAACATATTGCTCCAAAAAGAGATCATCAGGATTATCCTCCCAAGCCAGCCCCGCTGCCTGCGCACTGGCACTTCATTAGGATTCTGCATGACACTTTCCAAAGCCTGCATCCCTCATTGAGATGCTGACAGACAACCGGAGAACACAAAGTGCTCCCTCCCCTGCACAGGGACATTCCAGCCTGCAATTTCTGCTGTGACTCAATCAGCATCCACTTTAATGAGGCTATCTACTATCTCCAGGCCCTGGTGACTGATGTTTGAGCTTCCATCTCAGCCTTCAATTGCTCAGTCTCCCCTCTTCTCAGCTGCAGCCTTCCTCAGTTAACAAAATGAGAATAGGAGCAAGAGTTGCAGATGAACAGTACACCTAATTTCCAGTACTCTAGCTTCTAGCTGATCTTCGTCAGCTGATAATCAGTTTAACAGCTAAGAGCAAGCATGTTTAGCTGACAGGATTTGGGAATACATCTTGAAGGTTTGTGGTACGTTAACAATCTCCTGGGCTTTGTAGGAGATGTTTTTGTACAGGGTAATTTGGGTCACTTTTGATCAGCCAGTGTCTTCGGCATGCTGCAACAATTCCTCTTACAAATTTATTATTTGAGCTGCACCTCCCTTTTGTCCAATCTCCTACACCCTCCTGTCTCTTAGTACTTCTGTCAGTCCCAGTGTGCCCTCACCAGGAAGGACTGAACTGTTGTCTAATGAAATTACAAGGCATATGAATCAAGCCCATTGAGGCACGCAGAAGTTTACTGCTGTGTAGATTTATGCCTTCTTTGCACAGCATGAGATGCAGGTAAGGGAACCCCAGATCTTAAAGCTTCGTGGGCATATTCAAACTCATAGCAGAGCTGAGAAGAATTGTACCACACCTATAGGATTTTAACATCTCCCTTAGCTTTCCCAACCCATTTTATTTGTTTTGCTTTCTTGTCCCATTCACAATATTGTTCTCTAGAAATGAGGATGCAAAAAAAGTTTTATGGCATGAATTAATATTTAGAACATAGCATTTTTCTAACCTGTTATGATTTCTGATAATTCCTCATCTTTTTCTCTTCCTAGGCTTCCTGTTTGGTTTGTGTTTGCAGGTAAAATACATTTACTGCATAACTATGCATCATAGAAATGATGTATGACAAATCATTATAAACTCTGATCATTCTTTTCCTCTTGGTTTCCAAACTGTTTTCCTTAGCAGAAAACAGAGAGAAGCTGTACAGTATCCTTTAGAAAACAAGGACACTGCATAAACTGTTTCTTAGCAACAAACAAGTGAATAGCTCAGGTTCCCAGTCTGCTCCACAAAGGTACAACCAATATTTAGGAACTGAGAAAATAATGGAAGCAGGAAGACTCACCTCCCCCTTCTTTACAGTCATGGACTGCCGACGAGGAGTGATCTCCTCATTGATGCTGGAAAGGAAGTTCTGTGAGATCCGCAGGGCATCCTGCAGGAGTGGATGATCAGGGTGGCTCACTGGAGTGTGCTTGAGCAAATCCTGCCACCAAGAACACAAGCGAAGAACAGAATCATGAGCAGCACTGGCAAGCAGTGCCCCCAGAGCTAAGTCCCCAACTGAAGCCATCGGAGAAGATACTCCATGGCTTCTTACAGGCTAGAGTAAAGCTGAAGGCTGTAACTGCAAAGGAAGAGAATGACAACTTTGCACTTTGTAACATCACTGGGGAGCTACTAGGGTACCATGGGCTCCCTCTCCTCAGTGTAAACAGAAAAGGCTCCTATGCAGCATAGCAGCTTAATTTTTGCAGTCCTGCAGCTCAGTGGGAAACATGAGGGGAAAAGAAAATAGGAAATAGGAGAAAAGTTGGAAAGCTACCCTTGAGATACTTACATGCAGTACAAGTGTGCTGCGAGTCACTCGATCCACTGGCTTGTATAGCAGAGCTGTGAAAAAAAACACAGCAGGAACATAAAAAAGAGGTACCTAAATGCAGCCCTTACAGAACAACTTGTCCAATGCCAGTGAGCGTACAGGCACAGGTTAACTGATGAGGTACTAGAAACTCTTCTCCAAGGTTAACGTGCTACACAGCCAGTACACATGAACACACAGAGGAAATAAACATGCTCTACAGCAAACAAATACCCACTTGTGAGCATACTCTGTCACACAGTGGATGAGGAGCACACAAGGTGGTACAGAACGACTGCAAATAGCATGGCACGCTTGCAACAATTTCCTGGCAACCTGCCTGGTCCCATAGGTCAGAATCAGGCCTTGCACTCTTAAAGTTGCCAAGGAGGTCCCTGAAAGGTTGGCAGTGCATCCCTCCTTCTGGAGTTCAGCATGACACTGTTGAGTGTTTCCAAACACCCTGATAATAGGCCAAAAAAGGAAGGGGATTGGCTTTTACATTAATCATTATGGAAGCTTCATATAACATAGCTTATCTTCTACTAAGGCAAGCACAATGAGAACTGAGCTTGACCAAGCTCTCTAGAGAGGGCAAAAAAATAGAGCAATTACTTCTAGGCTGATGTTTGTGCTAACATTGGGCCATTGGGTAGTAGGTGCTTTCTTAAGAACACAGCAGTCCTTTGGTTAGCCTGGTTATGCCCAAAGGGACTCATCAGGTTTAAGCTGGGCAGGAGATCACCCATGCATGCATGCAATTTACTATGCAGAAGCTCTACTACTTAGCAAAAAGGAACTGATTTTCCATGTAAAGCCAACAGAGACTCCACAACCTTCCAACATTTAAAAAGAAGAAGTGAGAGTGGAGGCTTGGCAACAGCCCCCACACAGTCCTGACAAACCAGTATCCTCTGCATGGATCACTCACTTTCCAAGGAATTTTTCGTCGTCTGATCTTTAGATTCCTTTGTGCTTCTAGCCTTTAGATTCTAAAAGAAAAAGAAAACCCACGTAGCAGACGGTCAATCACCTTGAAATATCACATGGGAACGTAAGAGACTATCTGCTTCTCCAAAGAAGGGCCAAAGAATGACTGGAGGACAGCCCTGTCACAGTTCAAATCGATGAAGGAAAAAATATGCTTGTTTTCTTGATAATTTCACTATTGCCGTGACAAAGGCACCTACACATCTCAAATAATGATCAGATTTCTTAGGAGTTCACATCAATAGAGAAGCAACAAAAGAGGGAACCACCTACAGCAACATAGGGATGGCAGATTTTTTAATCACCTGCAAGAGAAAGGCATGTCCACAACAATGCAGCCATTGTCATAGCATGTACACACCACCAACAAATAAAGTACAGGATTGGGATTTAGCACCCCCTGATTATACTTATCTATGCCCAGAGCTTGGTGACCTTGGAGAAGTCAGCTGTCTTTCGCAACAAAAAAGGAACAATGCCTGTGACTTTTCTTTTTTGCTACTGTTAATAAATGGGAAACTCTGTGGAATGCATTTCAGTACTGAGAGAAAAGGAAGCACAGAGGAAGTACTCTGCTAATAAGCTGACACCACAGGAGCAAAGAAGTGGTCAGACAAAGGATCAGAACCCAATGGAAACCCTCAGTTAAGAGAAAATAGAAGAACTTGCACTCTGTTGATTAGTACATCAGATCCCAACAGGCAAGACTTGCTTCCCTAGTCTCACAGAGGGAATGCTCCATTTTACCTCTTTATCTTAAAAATCTAAAAGGGGCGTGCAATATTGAATGTACTCAATAGCTTTTTCAGAGCAATAAACACCATCAGTATTATTCAGCTCTGATTATTTATTTGCTTGTTTTTAAGGATACAGATATGAAGTTCACGTTTTCTTGGCAACTGAGTTCTTCAAGATATGATCACTGCAATGCAAACAGTGAAGGAGACCACATGCACTGTAGGCAAAGCTGGTGGCCTGGGAAGCCTGTAAAAAGTCTTCAAAATATTTTGACACAAAGTACTCCTCTTAGAGGAAATCAGAGCAGCTGGCAAATAGTCTAGATTACACTTAATGCACTTGCCATTTTAAACAGAATTTTGTCTCCTCTTCTCCATACCAGGGAAGCCTGCAATTCCACTGATAGACATAATGCAAGCCATCAAAGATGGCTTTTTTACATCCAGTCAGCATCATCATTAGGAAGATCAATATTTGAGATGCTCAAATAACAACTTTCCCTCTAGAAATGCATGCAGGTGGCACAGAGCTGAAAAGCTCACAGGAATGTCAGTTGTTATGACAAGATTTTCTGGGTAGGGACAGCATATAAAGGCAGTCTATAGGATAACCTCTATTAGCAAAATATAAATCATTGTAAGAATGCAAGCTGAAGCAATGAGTCTAAGGGAGCTCATAACTCCTCCAGAAGTCAGGGCTGCAAAGATTGCTGGAGAATAGATAAGTGACACTGCAGGGTATTAGTCAGATTCAGATGGCTCATGTGTCTGAATACCGTGACATTACCTCAGAGATTTCAGCAAACTGAGCATTGGCTTGGCAGCATTTCTCTGCTGTCTCCATGGCAACTTCATAGTTATCCACAAAGGCCCGGTACACTCCCAGCTGGCTGGCCTGCAGGAAGCAAAACAAAATCAAATAAATGCTGAGGAAGACGAGTTTGGAATGGCCAGATTGAGTATCTAATAATCAGGTCATGTTCCTTCACAACAAAGAATCACGGGGAATACTGAGCAGGCCCAGAAAGACATCTCTAACCTGATAAAAGCTTAACCAGGGCAGGTCTTCCATACACCCAACTCCAAATATCCTGAACAGATTCACTTACTGGCCTGTGAGGATGACACATCTTTATTACTGCCATCTATTTTTCCCTTCTGAACTGCCAGATTAATATCTATTAATATTTTAGCTCATTGATGTAACTGGAACTGCTGGATGTTTGCCACAAAATATGAATCAGACAGGAATGATTCAGCCAAACAGCACAAATGCGACCCCAGTAAGCTACTAGCTGGGGCTTTTGCACACATGCTGGTCACACTAAAACAAGCCCAGATATTAAACTATACATGCATCAGTAAACGTTGTTATAAAGACAGAAGATGCTGAAAATGTAGAAGAAATCCAGCACAATCTGTTTGTGAAGGCAGTGACTGCAGCACTTAGGTCCAGGTGAAGATGGAACAGAGTCCAGTAATGAGCCATTATCATCACTGAGCCCTCGCACTGATCCCATTTTCTGACTTATTAACTGCAGCCATATTTGTGCCAGAGAACAAAAGATCCAGCTCAGGAAATCCCTGGGTAGCTTCCAAGCTTGTCTGGATCGCAGAGCAGTCTTTATGTTGTGGAGCAGCACAGGCTGTGCTGTAAACACCTCAGCAGCTTGAGTGTGCTTTCAAATGTGTGGTCAGTAGTGAGCCAATAGGTGGGGTGCTGTAAAAGACTCCATTTAAAAGAAGCTTGTTACCAGAAAAGCTTACATTTACCCTATCACTTCTACAGCTCCCCTCTGGCCAAGAGGTACAGGAGGCAGAGCAGTGAACTTTCTCACAGACAGTGCTCTTTTCCTCTCTGGCTCTCCCATAACCAGTGTTCTCCATTCTCTCTGAAGCTTTATGCAAGAGATGATGGATGAGAAAAAGGCACTGTCTGGAGAACATTTGCTGCACCAAATGTTAGCTTTAGCTAACTGAGACTCTTCTCTATGGCAAGTTTTACTGAAAGACTAGGTACTGCTCTGAACTCTCATGCCATAAAACATGCTTATGACTGAAGCTGAAAGAGACTGTGCCCAGTTTGCCAGAGGTGACCCAGCCCCAGCTGCCAGTGGGGCACAAATCCCTGAAGAAGTAGCTGTCAGAATTACTGCTCATTGTCAGGGCTCATGCCACTCAGGTTTGGACGATGCCAGATGACAAGGCAGAGCTTTAGAGTTTCTCCATTATTGTGTGGCTCTTTCATTTCCTGCTACTGCTGAACAGGCTCCAGAAGCTTTGTTTTTCTTCCCTACAGATGCTGTCATTAAAACATTGTTTCCACTAAAAACTGATCTTCCAATCAAAGCAATAATGCTCCCCAAATTTTCATGCTAGTTTGAGTTTTTCCTTTTTCATTTAAAAAGAGCATAGTGAAAACTTAATAAATTTTGGTAAAATGAGTTGGTTTTTGGTGAAAAATTTTCCATTCTTGAGAACTATTAGATAGAATATTTGCTAAATATTTATTTCTAAAAATTGTACAAAATATTCCAGAAACACGAGAAGCCCATTTCACTCCCACATTCTTGATGATTTTTGTTGTTGATGTTCCCTTCTCTTTCCTTTGCTTCAACAGGAAGACTCGTTCAACGACAGGACAAGAGGCAATGGGCACTAACTGGAACACAGGAGGTTCTGCCTGAATACCAGGAAGCAGTTCTTTACTGTGCAGGTGACTGAGCACCAGAACAAGATGCCCACAGAGGTTGTTCAGCCTCCATCCTTGGAGATATTCCAAAGCCTCTCAGACACAGTCCTTGGCAGTCTGCTCTGGGAGACTTTGCCGGCCTTCCTTGAACAGGGAGGCTGGAACAGATGACCTCCAGAGGTCCCTTCTGACCTCTGTATCTATTCTGTGATTCTGTGAAAAAGGTAGAATAACAGCCACTGGCATTGCAAATGGATGATAATTTGTGCCAGACCACAAGAAATTCTGGAACTTGTGACACACACTAACTTCAATCCACATTGCTTTTTTTTTTATAAGATGTTCAAGAAAATTTATGTTCACAGAGACCTCAGGATAATAGCAAGGATTCCAGCCTTTATCAACAAATTGCGTAACACAACCACAACTAAACAATCTTTTCCAAAAGATTTGATGTATATCCTGTAAAGATATCTTCTAATGCCTGGTGATCTTGCTGTCTCTCCCATCTGCCAAAAATGATGGGCTTTACTTAATGCAGCAAAGAGTTCACAATTCCCACTGACTCTGTACCAAACCATCAGAATCCAAAACCACTAAGCTAGCTCAGTTGCCTGCACTGGGTCAATTTGTTTCTTTGCTTCCAATACTAATAAAAATAAAAAAAAAAACACCGATTCTGTTACAAATTCCCAAGAATCAAAGGAAGATAAATATGGGAATGCCACAGAAGGGCCTGTAACCACCATCAGCAAGAAATGGTCTTAAACAAAGACCTAAATAGCTGCAGAGGTTGAACCTTCCCAACAGTATTCTGTTACATCTTGTTGCTGTGCAATAGATGAGAGCAGAGGGGCATTCTGACAGTAAGGCAGCTGACACGGCAGTGCATACGAAGCAGTAGCTTTCATGGAAATAAACAGGAGGCATTACTTTCAGAACAACCTATGTATATCTTTGCTTCAGCAACCAGAAGCAATTGGTTTTGTCTTCTTAAACCAGATCCTTAAATTGCATATGTAAAGCTACTGGCCAACATATCAACTTGACCCCTTCTGGCTAAAACATGCTGGCAGTGAAATGCAGCTTCCCATATTTTCATCTTGAGCTGTCAGCATGCATGGAAAACATCCCCTTCCAGGCCCTTCTCCCCCTGCTCCACAGGCAGTGGTGCTGGTACTGGGCTACACAGCTGCTAACAATTGAGTGACCCTGGTAAAGAGCACTCCCCATCCAATAAACCCCTCACTGGAATGTCACTCCTACCCTGAGAATCAGAGGCACCTCAGGAATGCAGAGATTCTTTTCTTTTCGAAAAGGAAAAAACAGCCCTTTTAATCCCTTTGCTCTCTGCATGCGCTAGGGGAGAGGCAAAAGAGGCCAAAGGAATCTCCTAGAATGCAAACAATTTTTCATCTGACTCAGAAACTCAGCAATTTTAAATCAGCCTTAGGAATATGCTTTACATGACTTCGGCCTGAGAATTTATTGAGGCTGCTTGGAGAAGTCTCAGTATCATCTGCATCACCTCAGCTGCAGGGGGAATATCAAAGTCACTGTAGTGCTAGAAAAGCAAAGCTAAAGGCAATCACCATAAAAAATTGTAGATGCAAAGCACCATAGAGAAAAGGGAAATACATGTGAGAGAGCTCAGCAATAAGGAAAAATACTTATCTTTTGGTGTTAAAAGACTTTAAAAAAAAAAAAGAGAGAGAGAGAGAGAACAAACACTGTCATTCCTCAGTCTTCCTGTAGAGTAAATGGTTTGATGATGCTGCAGACAGCCTGGAGATTCAGCATTTCAGTAAAACTGTATTTGTATTAATATCATAGCTTGTTGGAGTCTGTAATTAACAGCAATGAGAGAGCCATTTTTTCCACAGTGAGGCAAAGCTAGAAACCTGTCATTCACACAGACACAGGTTTCCATCCCTTCAGTACATGCAAAGTCACCAGAAGAAGCTGTAGCAGCACATGTGAGATGAATGAGAGGTAAGAGAAGCTTTGGTGACTGCAGCCAACTCACCAGCTTTTGGAAGAGGTCTCCGACACGTTGCTGGTGACTCCACTGCTGCACTCGGGGAAAGAGTCCATCATAGAATTCTTTGTGGATCTCATAGAGCTCAGGCACTTTGAAGAATATTGTCTCAATCTGCTGACTAGTCAGCACAGGCTGAGAGGTGGTGGCAGCTGCTTTCAAAGGCTTCATAGGCTGAAATGAGAGATGAAGGAAACCATTACCATGCAAACCAAGTACATTCACCCTTGCCACATTACAAAACATACTTCCAAAGAGTTGCATTACAGCCTATTAATAAGTGATATTTGCATTCACACAACTGCTGAAAGCTAGGCATTAGCTTTCAGCTAATTCTCTCATGGAGATCAGCCACCTCTGGTATGTGGATCTTCCCAGGATATTAATAGCATGATTAAAATCACTTCGCACTCAGTTTCCTCAATCTCTATCCAACTGTAGAGAAGCGTGTCTAATAATTAGCACTGAATACTGACAGTGCTCCTGCATGCTATCAGATTAATACCTCCTGGGTTGTGCCATATCCAGTCCTTTCCTTTGGCTTCTTTCTCTCGACTAGAGAAGTGGCTAACAGGAACCTTTTGCATGAGCAACTGACAATCAAGGTAGGTGAAGTTCTGGGAAATTTTGGATGGAAGTAGCAGCAAATAGGCAAGTACTGGTGCTGGAAATGTAGCAGTGCTTACCAGCAGCAGAGCCTCCAAGTGGCTCAGATAGGTTTCCTCACTGGCCAGGATTCCTGACAGGACCCATTTTCTCATCTCCAGGCCTTTCTCCAGATCAGGCTCACTCTATAAAGAAGTTGTTAAGTGAGGAGAGGAGAAGAAAAAAAAGAGAGAGAGAGAATGAGAATGGAGGGGGTAAGGAGAAGGCTGATAAAAAACAACTCATGTTTAGTGTCAAGATTCTAGAAGCAGACATAGAAACACCAAAGAAAATTTTTATTTACCAGAAAATGATGGCACTTATTTATAGATGTTAGCTTCAGTCATCTATCTTTGGTGCCTGGGTTTCTTCACATAAATCAAAATTTCAAACTTTACAATTCAAAAATCTATTATTCTAAACAAATTGTAGGGACCTTTGGTTATGTGCAGTTCAGTCTCTCTTCCCATGAGAATTCTCTATGATTTTGTTCCAAAGCCATGTGTTTCTCTACACAGACAGGATCACTTTCCCTGTTTCTACACAGATGCACATGAATATAGAGCAGTTACAGCCTGACATTGCTGTTAAGATGGCTGTTCTTTCTCCCACTCTTTACTATTCACCAAGTTATTTTCACTGCCAGCTTGCACAAGCTCTATTTTTAGTTAAAAGACTGAATAATCAGCACTGCTTGGATTGCACATGCTGGTTTTCTTATTGGAATTCCATAAAGCAGTTCTTAACCAAAACAACTGGGGAAAAAAGAGAGAGAAGAATAAATACATTCATGGGCAAACACCGATGTTAATCATCAAGTTTTAAGAGAAGTAATAATTTCTTTTCTACATTTCAATTATCACTGAAAAACATTCAACCTGACAAAATGGAGTATCCCCATAAATTCTGAAGAAAAAAAAAAAAAAGGAAAGCCAAACAGTGGAGGTTATAAATAATGACACACCACCAGCACCACATTTTACAGAATGTCATTTTCAGCTTTTTATTTCTATGAATGACTACCTAAAAAACAAACAAACAAAAATTCCTATTTTTGCATCCTTGTATTGTTGTTAAAAGACTCTAAGAGCAGAGACAACTGTTAGATCTGAAAAAGTAAATAGGTAAATACTTCTAAGGGCTTTGGGTAGAACATTAGGGACTCCATCCTATTCCTGTTAATACCTACAGGAATCTTTGGCTATTGATCTCAGCAGGATGAGGATTAGGAAACATTAACAGTATGTTCCACTCTATTGACTGAACACAGAGCCTGTCTACAGCTGATTTTCAATAGCTCTACTTCGAGTCCCACGCTCTGAACCTTGCAAATGCATATACGAGGTTCATTATGGAGAGATGGTACCTTGGTTACAGGTAAGCTTACAGCAGCTATCACATTAAGTGCAACCTGGAGCCCACGCACCGTGCTAAGAAAGAAATGGATCCTCACGCTCCCAGATATTTTTGGACTCAGTGTCATCAATAACCACCCTGATTTCTGAATGCTTTCTTTATATTTCATAAGCTATTTTCTAGGCTAAAAGACTTTGCAGCAACTACTTTATAAAAATTTTGTGAGGTGTCAAATACCGCTAACACCTCTTAAAGGAAAGTGACAGACAGAAGCTGTTCTAAGCATAAGAGTAAAATGTACGTGCACACCGTGTACGACATGGAAAACATTTGTCTTTGTATCCCACCTTTCAACAAGGTTCATTAAGAACCACGCTGCCTTTTAAAACCTTGAAAGGGCATCTGAGAGAAACCAGGAACTCGTGGTTGAGCATTCAGATGCAGAAGATTTAAGAAAAACACCCAGTGACAAAGTGACTACATGGTGACAGGAACAAAGAAACACTGCAACACATTTCTGTGCATCTCTATGGCATTTCTTACAGCTCAAACAGAAATCTTTAACTGATAGTCATAACAGATATGACTGATCCTGAAAGTTTCTGTACTGGTAGCACCTGGATAGCTGCTCAGACACCACTGTTAGGCATGGCACATGCATGTAACCCAGAAAGACAGCACCAAGATGTTTAGCAAAGATTTCTTTCATTTAAAGAGGTATCTAGCTGCCTGCGTGCAGCTCCTGGGAGCCCTGATGCAAGACAAACACTAATCTTTGGGTTTCCAAAGATTTCTTAGCACGTTTACAAAAGAAAAATGCAGCTTCATAGAGAAGCATCAAAAAACAACTGACAGTGCTCCAAAGTCCCCACTGCTGAGGATGAAATAACTGGTCAGTGTTGACACAGCACTATAATTATGTCTAGCAGGCTCTCTTAGAGGAGGTGGGGGCTTAAAAACCAGCTGGGTATGTTTGTAACATCTGTGAGGAGCACCACACGACGACAAGCAGCTTAAATGATTCAAACTTCCCCATCGCAACTGTGACACAACAGTTTTCATTATAGCACTGAAAACAGCTTTCCTCTTCACAAATAAAAGCTTTAATTTATATGCCAGTTCTTGCTGGGCACCATCAGCTGACAGAGACAGCACTTTCTGCCTGAATGTTAATTTCCTCTCAAAGAGATTTGCTTTCAGGGAGACAAACATCTCCCAGGACACACTACAGGCTCTCCTTCCTGGCCATTAACACAAGGTCACATTGAGAAGCCCATAGTATTGTCCTAACTCTTTTTATAGGAGCATTTTCCAAGTATGATGCTTACAAAACGACAGCCTCAGATCCAGCCAGCCTGAACAGGGCCTAGCTGCTTTAAGCTACGGTGCAGCAGTTGCTGAGGAAACTCTCAGGGGATTTTATCCAACAATCGCAGAGCACACTGCAAGGTTTCCGACCTTCAATTTACACAAAGTTTCCTCAAATGTGAAGAAATGATCTCCTGCTGCTGTCAGGGATCAACAGGACACCATGCTGCTGTCTCCATTGTGCTGCCACTCTGTATTTCTCCCTGAGAAGCAGAGCCCAACATGAGCCTCCTGCTGGGCATGGCCTCTTCTGACAATGTCATCTGATGCACCAAGGAGCTGCTCTTGCTGCTAGAACTTCTGGAAAGCCTTAGGGTGCTTTTAAGTTATTCTTGTAATGCAACTTGCACAATGACTGAGAAATTCACTAGCAGCTAGTGCCAAAATCAAGTTTATTATTTGGGATCACGACATTTCTTGCTTACAGAACTGGAAACAAGCTCACCTGCACATTCAAAACAAGTCAGAGCAATCAGCAAGCAAAGATATTGCAACGCTGTCCTTCTGCTCTTCCCTTAGAGCACACAACAACATGATGCACCCAGCACCAAGGGCAGTTTCTGCTTTGGCCATATCTGAAGGAAGGGGAAAAAAGAGCAACCCTGTAAACCACAAAGCCCCACTGACTGCTCTGTGTCTGTGCTCCAGGCAGAACAGCAGTTAAGAAAGGGAACATCCTGGGCCCAAGAGGCATCACCCAGACGTACACCTGTTCAGGGAGATCTGCCAAGCCTGGGTACTCCTTCCCTGACAGGAAACAGTCTGAAATCTCCAAGTAGTTTGTGGCAAAGTAGGGAGCTGATACTACATCCAGAAGATCACATTAGCTGGGGAAAATATACCTATTAATATACCTATGTGCAGATGGGATGTTCTCAGCAGGATGTGGGAGCAGCCCATACTGGCAAACTCTGACCACCAAGCAGAGAATTCCAGGTGGTCAGCAGTCCATCCCACGCCTCCTACCTGCCTTGGTTAGCCTGTTCTTGACTAGTACAAGTCTAACTAGTATTTCATGTTCTGATTTTATCCCTACCTTTTTGACTCAAGGATCCATTTCTAGCCTTTCCCCCTGGGCCTTCCACCTTTTGATTGTCTCTCTACCCACAGGTTTAGGAATCACAGAATCACAGAAGTGCCAGGGTTGGAAGGGACCTCAAGGATCATGAATCTCCAACCCCCCTGCCACACGCAGGGCCACCAACCATCCCAGCTAATGCTAGACCAGAATAAATCTGTTTTATAAAACTCTACTAGGGAAGCAGCCACAGCATTCCTGTCTGTGCTCTGTAGGAGCTGTGAGCATCCAAGAAGCAGCCAGCTCTCAACAAAACAAGCTAGAAATCAGTGTTTTGTTCCCACCCTCAATGAATTACTAATACATATATATAACATAGGGAGGGAAGATGGAAGATAACGTAAAGGAAGTTTCATGGGTATTTCACACCTACAGTGTTTGACTGTTTCATTCTCAACTGGGTGGTGCATCTTGCTATTCCAGTGATTTAAAAACCAATCACAATCATAAATAAAATTCTGCAACCTGAATCAAGGCCAGTCAGAGTGGATAGTAGCATTAAAGATACCAGAGAGCGTGCATATGCTGGCCTGAAGCCATGGCTGTTTTGAATGTGTTTACAGCTTGTCAGCCTAAGTACTCTAGTTTACTAAGCAGGTTGGCACTGCTTGTTGTATTCAATTACAGCAAACCTGAGATTCTCCAGCTCCAAGGATTAGACAAGTTCAGCTCTTCCCGACTCTTTTTAAAGAGCTCAGAGGTTTGTGGTTGTTATTTAAATTAACAGCAATAATTGCTTTATTGGAAATGTTAAAAGAATAGAGATTAAGAATCTAGAAACCACCACGTGTAAGATTTGGCCAACTGGTTGCTGCCAGAACAGCTCTGTAAAGAAAACCAGTGCTTCAAAGTGGGCGTATGAAAGGCACTTTAACTCTCAAGACCTTCCTTTGGTACAGTGTGTTCATGTTGTGCAATGAACGTGTTCAAAGGAGAGGTTTCCCGTAAGGACAGCTCAGAATCTCACAGACAAGCTAACACCCTATGAAAGAGGAAAAAAAACAACATTCGTTTTAATCTTTAAAATTTAAATATCTTTGAAAGCATCTGCCAAGCAGCCTGGAGGTGTCCTATTGTCTAGGTGATATTAGGCAGGGCAAATTCTGCAATCAATCCAGTCATGCTCCTTGCAGGGGAAGGAGCAGGGACAGGAGCCAACATTCTTTATAATATCAGTATTGATGTGCCAGCTCTCCTCAGGAAGGGCTGTACATCCAGGCAGAGCCCTCCAGCAACACAGAATTGGAGAAGAAAGAGTTGCATCTGCTGGAGATAGTGAGAAAAATGCGGCATTAAGTTTAAATAAATAAATAAATAACAAATATCAAGAGGGAGAAAGAAGGA